CCCCACTTTACCAACTTTTTTTGATTTTGATATTCAAGTTAACACATTGTATGAGTGGTATATTATAGCCTACATCATACTGTGTCTAAAATGCAGAAAAAAAGCTTACGCGTCAATTTAATTCTTTTGAAATTTTGCGGACTATTATCAGATGAGCATTTGTATGTATGGGAGGCAACTCTCTTTATTAACCATAGAAAAGCGCTTCTATTAGGATACAGCTCACCGAATTCTTACGCCGTCAGCCACGAGGTAAGGGCCAGCGTTATTTTAAAGGCTCAATACCACTCTTGTTGTAACTGAATAATATGTCCCAATCTTTATTCTGGTCAACAAATTGTACTATTTTAGAATATTTCAATTAATTGATGATACAAATTTCATCTTAAAGTATCATCCAAAATCTTCGACCTTGAAAACACGATTTATTTGTCGCTTTAAATCAACATTGATGTTGTGATCTTACCGGGAAAAGATGGCCTTCTGATATCCAATATTTAAGACAAATTAAACATTTTACAATTGGTATTCCACAAGGCATGTCAAACGGTGACGCTATATTCTTATCTGGAGAGCATGCCCAATAAATACTATCGGCGTAGACTGGAAAAACCAGACGCTAGAGATTGAAATTCCATTGAGAATACTGGCGTATTTCGCCGAACCTAACTGATTTGAAATTACAGTAAAAACAGAAACGATTGAATGTAAATCAATTTATATACATTCATATTACATTATTGTATGCGTTGCGACCCATTTGTGTCAATTTCTAGGTCCCAAATATTAACGATTTAGCTCCTTTAACACACCTTATTTAAAAATTTTGAAAAATTCAACATAATGGTTTGAAACGTCTAACGTAAACCTTTTCAAATGAAACTTCGATTTAAAAACATTTTCGAATCCTCTGGACAAGTAAAATAGGATGTAATGGATAATTTACACAACAGGTAGGACACTTAAACATATAGTACTTAGATAGAGATATTATTTATTTTCTGGAGCTTTCAAGCCAGCAAGAGTGTTATTGTCCCTTTAAGTCTTTCTCTCCTTTTAATAAAACCAACACTTTTTTTTTTACTCAAATCATGAGGTCTGGTCATTTCAAAATGAATTGCTTTGCGTCCACTTTTCTTAGTCAACGATTCTGTATTTGTCAACCGAGTGGCGATATCCAATAAAAATGATACTTTGCAGATCACTTGTGTGGACCTTATATTTATATTATATATAGAGAGAGAGAGAGAGAAATGGGGTTTAACGTCCACTCGACACAAACTAGGTCATTTCGGGACTAACATATGGTTTAATTTTATTTCAATGATTCCCTTGTGCGTAGGAGTCTTTAGCAGTGGGAGGAAACCGGAGGACCCGTAGAAAACCCACGAGGTTGGACAGGCGACCCTACTAGTACTCCTTGTCACGTACAACCGGTGATTCGAAACCACGCCAATTGACTCAATGACAGGCCTTATGATACAGCGCGCACTTGCTAACGATTCGGCCATCCAACCATCCTCTATTTTTATATAACTCAATATCAATCATCTATTTATAATTCTGTGCTCTGTATAACTCTATGGTATGGACATATATAGCTCACCAATTGTTCCTACGCCGTCACCCAAAGTAAGGGTCAAAGTTATTTAAGTTATTTTACCCGCATGGTGGTCTTTGTTGACTTTTTTGGCGTGGAATCGAAGAAAAATTGGATTTGAATATTGATTGGTTGAATTTTAGTGCGGGCAGTGGCAAGTTTATTTATATGCTACTTCCAGTTTGTATAGCTCAAGTTTTACATGGCGAACAACATACCTGCTTTTGAGCAAGAGGATGCCGCATGTTGCTCCATCTGTGGTAGAAATCGTTCAACATTGCGAAGATTTTGGGAAAAGTTAGAGCCAGTCTAAGAGACGAGAATTAACATTGATGTCAATGTGGAAATAATTAGTGATCTGTAACCATAAAGTACCAGGGCCCTGTTTCTCGAAATCTTAACTAAAGATAAAATCCAAATTTTAGTAGATACTTCGATTTTGATTGGCTAAGCACTAAAATCAGTCTAATCATAGGCGTACGGGCTCGATGACAGTTGGGGAGGGGGGGGGGGGGCAGGAACCCGAAATGCCCGAAAAAATTTCGGGTTTACAGACAGCGGCGCGGTCTTCCTTGAGAAGAGAAGAATCGGAGCTTACCTTGTGTGGAACCCCCCCCCCCCCCCCCAAGGAAATTTTGGGATATTTGACGGCTGCAAACACGTTTTCCTGCTATTTCAGCCCGTAAACAAAACAACTTCAAAGTGGTCTAATATAGGCTTATTAAGATGGCTGGCTCGAATTCCAATCAAAAGATCAATCGTTTACAGTCCACGAAGACGGGCCCGTTGGGAGAAAATTTTGAAAACTTAACTGCCGCAAACGCGTTTTCCGGCTATTCCAGCCTGTGAATACAGCAACTTCAATTTGGTCCAATATAGCCTGTCTTGCTGACCCGAATTCCAAACAACCAATCAATCGTCGCGGGGAATGGGGGTCTCACCCTCCCGGAGAAATTTTTGAAAATTTAACCACCGCAAATGCGTTTTCTGCTATTCTAGCCCGTGTAAGCAACTCCAAAAGTATCCAATAATTTTGTAACCGAAATCCCATTCTGAATTCCAACCATCCAATCAGACTGTTGCAGCTGCATTCACAGATAATAATCAATGCCCGAAAAATGACGCACAAAGTAGAGTGGCTCCAGACAAAATGTTTTAATCCATAGTCAACTCAGTACAAATTCGTAGTATTCAATTAAAATAAAAATAAAATTAGTGTTTTATTAGGGCTCGATGACAGGGAAGCAAAACTAGAAATGCCCCAAAAAAATTCAGGTTTACAGACAGCGGCGCTGGTTTTCTTCGAGAGGCGAAGAAGCGGAGCTGACCTTATATGGACCCCCTAAGAAAATTTTGGAATATTTAAACGCGTTTTACTGCTATTCCAGCCCGTAAAATTAGTGTTATATTAGATTTCGGGCACTTTATTTTGCCAAGTAGATGAAATAAAAAAAATTTTTCATGTTACCCGTCTGCCCGAAATGTCAGCTTGCCCGAAAGTTAGGGGGGCAGCTGCCCCCCCTGCCCCCCTGGCTCGTACGCTTATGAGTCTAATATTATCCGATCAAATTACTAAAATTTGGATTTTATCTTAGTTAAAATTTCGTGAAACAGGCCCCAGACTTGAGTCTACTTCCCATTGCATTCCTTGGTCTGTAGGCTGTAACCGTATTACTGTAACATTGTATTTTTCAGCATTCCGATGATCTTAATCTTTTCCCAAAAAGTGCCCAGTGTCAGAATCATCTGTTAAAAATACTGAAGGGTGTTGACCATCTCAATTTTTGGTTATGCCCAGGTTCAAAGGAATAGGGAGATGCCTACAATTGGCATCTCCCAAAGGAATATATAGCCTCTGATATGATTTTTGTATGTGACTTCCCCAATTAGCATTTACTTGTCTTTACTACACTAGGATCTGGAAGAGTTGTTTTATAACTCACATTCTGGATGATGTGAGGGATTAGCCAATGAAACACTCTGTTACGGTGACTTCTTGGTATGCCATACACAGAACTGTGGGTAAACTACTAGAAACGCCAACGCTGATTGATTAATCAATCCCTGACACAAACTTCGATTACAACTTGTCACATCTTCATGTAGTGTAGGCCATCGAAAGTATAAAAAAAAAGAACGAAATATACATCTGTATTTTAATCAGATTGTTCTGAACCAAAAGGGGGAGTTGGTTGGATGGCCGAATGGTTAGCACTCGCGCGCTGTATTATAAGGCCTGTCATTGAGTCAACTGGTGTGGTTTCGAATCCATGGTTGTACGTGACAAGGAATAGGGTCGCCTGTCCAACCTCGTGGGTTTTCTCCGGGTCCTCCGGTTTCTCCCACTGCTAAAGACCCCTACGCGCAAGCGAATTATTGAAATAAAATTAAACCATATGTTAATCCCGAAATGACCTTGTCTGTGTCGAGTGGACCTTAAACTCCATTTCTCTCTCTCTCTCTGAACCAAAACCCATGCAAAAAAGGGATAACGGCTGTAAATAAAGAGAGAGAAATGGGGTTTAACGTCAAATTGACAAGACACAAACTAGGTAATTTCGGGCCTATCATATGGTCCTATTTTATTTCAATAATTTTCTTGTGCATAGGGGTCTTTAGCAGTGGGAGGACCTGGAGAAAACCCACGAGGTTGGACAGGCGACCCTACTCCTTGTCACACTCAAGCGGGGAATCAACACCACACCAGTTGACTCAATGACAGACTTCATGATTTCACGTGTACGTGTTAAATTTCCCTGATAGTTCACTGAATAGTATAACCCCACCTTCATCATTTTTCAATGTTTTATTTATTACCTTGAAGAAGAAGAGGGTACCTCTTCGAAATGTTGGTCTAACAATATCTGACGATTAAAACAGTGTTAGTGTCACTTTTGCTTATGTACTTTAATATTTATCTAGTGAAGGACACTTCCGTATCGGATCCTTTGGTCCATTGTTTTCATATTCCTTTTGAACGTGGATTCTACACAAGTTTTGCATTTTTTCATTGGCCCAGTCCGTGCAGAAGGTAGAACGCTAACCCCATTTCATTCACCACCTTTTCTAAAATCCCAGTCAACACATTTTATGAATGATATATTATAGCCCACACCTTACTTTGTCTAAAATGGGGGGGTTGGATGGCTGATTGGTTAGCACACGCGCGCTGTATCATAAGACCTGTCATTGAGTCAACTGGCGTGGTTTTGAATCCCCGGTTGTACGTGACAAGGAATAGGGTCACCTGTCCAACCTCGTGGGTTTTCTCTGGGTCCTCCGGTTTCCTCCCACTGCTAAAGATCCTTAGGAAATAAAATTAAACCATGTTAGTCCCGAAATGACCTAGTTTGTGTCGAGTGGACATTTCTCTCTCTCGTCTAAAATGAAGAAAATAAACTTACACATCAACATATTTATTTCAATAAACATAACATTTGATATATATACCAATTAATTAACAAGTAAGCACATTATATTTTTATATCCATAAATTTTGGTCACATTACAATAACAAGTAGCACATTTAATTCAATCAACAAAATTCAATTTTTTTACATCCATGCTGATTTATAGACATATATTTTGTCACATTACTATGATGTATACATACATTAAACATACATTATGCAAGAGCTAAATCTGCCTATTGCAGGTCTTTCTTGATATGTTATCTAAATTATTAATTAGACATTAATTACATTAATTAACTTATCCAGCTCATATTCAACTCTCGATGGCATCGGATTTCTCCAATATTAAATAGATTAGAACAGTTCAGCCATATTTTGATTTAAGCTAAAAATGGAGGAGCGAGACTTAGCTTCAAGCAACCAGTACGATGGTTGAAATTATTGCACACATCTTGTCAAACCTTTAAAGGCTAATATCTTCACTCACAATAGAGTAATTTGAATAAAATTTTCAAATTATTCATTTTACATTATCCATTTTCGAACTATTATAGCAAGAATGGCTAGCTCTTGATCTAAATCTTACATAATGTATCTTTAATTAATCCATCAACAAACATGTGAAATTCAATTTTTTTACATCCATACTGATATACTGGTGTATATTTTGTCACATTACCATGATGCATACAGTGTACATAGATTAATATTTAATAAATTACATCTATTGGTGAAAAACACATTCTGGACTGTCGCAAAACTTCAACACTTGCGTCCAAATGTATAACCCGTGAAACTGGATGGGTGGTTGAATGACACAGCAGATAGAAAATAATAAAATAAATATCGGTTGTTTATTGAATCATGAACAGAAATTTCAACATTTTCGAACTCTATTAGCACATGTGAGGGTGGGGCAGGGGCGCAGGGGGTGTTGAATATCGATGAATAGGTGGGGATGGGACAGGGTCGCAGGGGTTGTTGAATATCGATGGACAGGTTGGAGTGGGGCAGGGTCACAGGGGGTGTTGACTATCTATCCACAAGATATTTGTTTGGAAGCAAGTGTCAAAATTTTGAAACAGTCCCTTATTGAATAAAAATCTATTTATAGACATCTATTGTCAATATTGCATGAAATCCTAGTATGTTAAAACACATAATAGAAATAAAAATGTTACTGAAAAAAAACAAAATAATTTATAACATCAATTTTATCACATTTAATAAGTATAAGTACGATATATTTAGCTGAAACCGTGTGTAGTCGTTCGGGTAGGATGAAAAACCAAGGTCCAATGTACACATTGACAATTGGAATTCGATTAATAGGATGCCTTAGTGACACTGTCTGGCCAAAACTGTATGATGTATTTCTGTCTTCATTAGCTGAGTCTATATAGAAAAGTAGGATGTTAAACCCCATTTCATTTATTCAGACAAATAAGCACAAATTTGTTTCAATCACTTCAAAAATTATTACACACTTAACAAGCCTGGAAATAAGGCACCTTTCACAGACAATGTCAGGCACAGATTCAGGTTTTGTCAGGCACAAAACCTCTGGTGCCTGTCATTTTGTCCAGCACTGATTTGTCTTTTTTATTGACATTATTAATACATGTCCAGCACTAAGTTGAAAATGTCAGGTACTATTTCATTATATAGTATCTGACATTTTGTCAGGTACATCTAAAACTGCTATTTCCAGGCCTGACGCTTAATTACGTGCCTTTGACATAATACATGTAACTATCAAATTTATCTGATGCAAACTTGTATTAATAAAACTGTGGTGTGACTGCATACATGTATTTTATTAACCATCTGAATGGTAATATTCTGTGAATTTCAAGAAATAGTCAGTGAAATAGAGCACAGCATGATAAACATCCTATAAAATCATACTATATTCAACCATCTTCTGGAATAAACCACCTCTCTCTCACAATGGAGAAAAATAGATCTTATCAACAGCATTTCTCTTAATGAATTCAGAATGGTGCATTTTAATATTTACAGTCAAGAAATACTATAGCACAACATGATTAACACCTATTATAAAATCATAAACAATATATTCAACCTTCTTCCATAATTAACCATATCTCACAGCATGGTAAAAATTACATCTAATCAACATCATTTGTCTTAATGAATCTAGAATATTCATAAGTCATTCATTGGTGTATATTTATAGCAGTCTATTGATATGATTAGCTTCCAGTTCTTCTATAAAACTTCATAGACACACATTTTCACACACATCCCTTTCCTAACTAAAAGTCAATTTTACAAAAATCTTGGTGTATTTACAGGACTAGAACGATTCAAATATAAGTGGTTTAACCGTCGAGAGCAAGACATTTAGTAATATGTTGATACCACGCTAATTGTTATATCAATCTAATCAAAATACAGATCTATATTTCATTTCATTTTGATCTTAATTCTTTCGATAGCCTCTACTACATGAAGATCTCACCGGTTGAAGTGGAAGGTCATGCCAGGGTTCATACGAGCGGCTTTTGAGCCTATGACGTCAGACATTTGATTAAGCAATCAGTGTTGATGTTCTTAGTGGGTTACCCACAGTTCCGTGTACCTCACGTCAAAAAATCTCCATAACAGACCGTTACATTGGCTAATCCCTTACATCATCCAAAACGCCGGTAATATAACAACTCTTCTAGATCCTAGTGTAGTAAAGACAAGTAAAACGAAATTTTAAAAATCTATAAAAAATGAAACGAAATAGGATCTGTGTTTTAATCAGACTGAGTGTTGTATCAATATATTATTATGCAATGTCTTGCTTGAAACCATTAAACAACTTAAAGCGCAGACACTATCCCGCACATGCATTTCAATGAAATCGCACGAGTCCAATATTTCATCTCTTCTTATACAATAATGTACGATTGGCACATTGCCTGTATATTATTTGAAATAATGGTATGCACTATAGTGAAGTCCAAGTGGTTATTGTCTTATACCCACTGTACGGTAGTTCATCCTTAACTTAAAAGACAAAATCGGAATTGTGGTCTAAATGAATAGTTTGTGCTTGTGATAACAACATCATTTTATTAATATTATGAAGAAACAATTATTCCATCTTCTGCATTTTCATTTCTTGGATGTATATCACGAACTGTATTCTCCCACTTTTCTAAACACCTCTCGTAGTATTGTATATTTCTCTCAGCCATATTCAGAAATATTTCTTTCATGTCGCGTTGCTTGTTAATATGCCATCTCTCCATGTCCGCTTTTAAATCTGCATTAGCCACGACTAATCTATCATTCAACATGTCCATCTGTTGTGTGAGATCTACCAATTGTTGTTCTAATTTTTCTCTTTTGGTTTCTTTAACATCTTCTGGATCTTTACCAAGGAAAGCCCCAATAGAATAGGTCTGATCTGAGGTCTTTATTTGCTCTCTTTCCTCTTTCTTTTTAGCTAATTCTTCCACGATCATGTCATACTCCATCTGCATAGCATCTCTTCTTCTTAAAACACCTTTCACAGATTCTGTATACAAAATGTACTCTTTCAACGGCTGAGCGAAATCATCCTCTGTAGAATCAATCATGTCTTTTAATTCCTTACAGCACTCTTCTATATTTTTGGACATGGCCAGGAGACTCGCCTTCAACTTATCTTCTGAGTTAGCCCACAGCATAAAACATGGTGCCCATTCAGTTAATTCTGTTAAATATTCTGTAGACTCCTTCAGTATTCTTTGTGAAATTCTGTCCATTACACCAAGTTTTTCACCAAATGTTTGAATGTATTCATGCATAACTACAAATTCTGGTGGTCGATTCTTCATCATGTAAGAGGCTCCCATATTATGTAGGGAATCTGTTACTCTTGAAAAAATACCTGAGCCTTGTTTCTTGTGGGCCTGGAACTCCCAGGCCTTAGCTGTCAGAAATACAAACAAGTTCTTGTCAAACGATAAAACAGGGTGATCTGCAAGACGTGTAAGGAATTTCTGAAGTGCACCCTCTCTAACTCTCAAGAATTCTGGACTAAATCGATCCAATCTCTTTAAGCTATGTTTAGCTGGTAAAGGCGGTACAAGATGTGTGCAGTACGTTTCTTCCAGCCTTTGTCGCAGCCACAAAAAATCATTATAACGTCTCCGAACACTCAGCTCAGCACCGTCAAATTCACTTCTATTGGTCTTGGTTTGCACCCGGAAGGTTATGTATGATTCCAAGGTGCTAGTATGTTTTTCTGGATCATCGACAACAATAAATAAATCTTTGGTTTCAGCATCTGCATCCTCATCTAACTTGAAATTTGCAATCAGACTGGAACTTCTTGACACTGTTTGATCCGATTTTATTGAAGCATTCAGGTCTAAGCTCTCCATGCCATCGTCATCACTTTCACGGTCGAAACCTGATAACAAAGGATCTCTAAATTTAACATTTTCATCTGCAGCCTTAGTCGGAGAGGAGTCTAATTCTGCATCATCTTTAACAGAATGGGGAGTTGCAGTTTCTTCGGCCATCTTGTCACATTACAATAAAATCTAGCAATCGGAAATCTTCAGTTATTTCCGCGGTTAACCACTTCCGTAATAATTGTAAAGACACGGGACTTGAATGATTATAGTAAAACTGCTCTTTTAGAATAATTAATTTCCAAAACTACAAAATTACATTTGCTAGCTTATACAGGATTATATAAAATAATAAACAAATATTTATTGTTTTGTAAAGATACCAAAACAACGACAAAAGAAAAAGTAGGTCAATGACCGAATTACTTATGCAACTAACGCTCCCTAAAAGCATGTGACATCCACACGTGACCTCGCATTATCGTCAGTCCAGCAACATGAATGGAAGGGATCAGAGTTGTGTGATTTTCATATTATTTTTTGCATTTCAGTCAACAAGATCATTGAATCCAGTTATATTAGGTATGAAAATATTAAGTTTGTTGTAAGTTTTTGTGAATTGTAATCCCACCATTTCACTAATGAGTCTCTACTGCCGACCTCTTTAGTCACTTGTGGTGGCCAGTTACTAGGAATGACTACAGACTAGGCCTACCAATCAATCGTTTGTTGACGAGTGTCAATGAGTTGTGTGACCACTATGACCTGAACCAAATTTGTTTGTTTTCATTCTACAGATTGGCTTTGATATGCTAACGTAATTACATGTAGCTACCAAATTTTCATTTATTTGCTATATAGATGTTATCCTAAAAAGTAGAATTCAATAAAGATTTAAAATATACTATTCAAAAAAAGTAGGGGATATTTGATTTTGGGGGCATAATACTAAAATATGCAAATGACTACGAAAAAAGTCACTATAGAACCTAACAGAAGAAACATTTCCAGTTACATGTGACGCCCAAACGCACCAATAGCTACCGCATGGAATGCAGGTGATGCTTGGGATCATCATGGGGGTCCAACCCAAGATTTGCACGACTCTGACTTTGAATGTTACAGTCATTGTGGCATTGAATTCCAGGGTGGAAACATCAGTTTAATTGTTTTAGTGACCAGAAAACAAATTTTGATATGCGTCGGCTTACCCAAAATGAAAGGTTACGTGCCCTTGGCATGCTACAGATCGGCACAACACAGGCGGTTGTGGCGCGGACGATGAATGTTTCTCAGTCTGTCATAAGCAGGCTATGGTCCAGATACCGTGATACACAATCTGTACAGGACAGACCACGCTCAGGTCGACCAAGGGCGACAACTCAAGCCAGGATCGATTTATCCGTACCTTGGCCTTGAGAAATCGTGTCATCACAGCAAATCAGATCAGCGCTCGTCTTCAAACAGACACTGGTGTGAGAGTGAGTGGCCAGACGATTCGGAATCGACTGCATAGGGGTCACCTTCGCGCCCGACGTCCTCGCGTGATCCCTTGTTTGAGAGATCATCACATTCAGGAAAGACGTCGTTGGTGTAGGGATCGTCAACACTGGGATAATCGACGCTGGAGCAATGTGATGTTTTCAGATGAGTCAAGGTTCACTGTTGATTTTTTGGACAGACGTAGGAGGGTGTGGCGTCGTCGAAACGAGCGCTTCCAAGACGTTAACGTCATCAGACATGATCGATTTGGGGGTGGTTCTGTTATGGTGTGGGGAGGCATCACTGTTGCTGGAAGAACGGCTTTACATGTTGTTGCAGGGTGTGTTACAGGCCAGTACTACCGGGACAACATCTTGGCAGTCCATGTTGTGCCGTTCGCACGACGTCATGGCCGCCGTTTCATATTCCAGGATGACAACGCAAGATGTCACAGGGCCAGGATCGTTACAGGTTACCTCCAACAACAGAACATCACCACATTACCTTGGCCAGCACTGAGTCCCGACCTCTCCCCTATCGAGCATGTCTGGGACATGCTTGGACAGAGGTTACGTCAACGTCAACAACGTCCTGCCAATGTCCAAGAACTTGCTGCTGCGTTGCAACAGGAATGGGACAATCTGGACCAAAATGACCTTAGACGTCTCATTAGGAGTATGCCACGTCGGATCAATGCTTGTTTGGCAAACAGAGGAGGATTTACCCGTTACTGACTTGGTTGTGATGATGTGGTAATTTTGCTGTTTGACCCCGGGTATCATTTTACCCTTATAATGGTCAGTCTGTGCCTTACTTAGTCTAACGATCATTTGGAATAAATCGATGAATGTGAACTTCATTTCATTTTGTCATTTGTTTCTTCGTCAGTTTCATTAGGTGACTTTAATAACACTTAAAAATCAAATATCCCCTACTTTTTTTGAATAGTATATAAAGGATAATTTAAAATTAAGGTAACGTCATTATGAATAACATAAAATATCTGTGAAGAATAAAGTTTAAAAAAATAAACCTTCTGGTAGTGGTATATGATATTGTATATAGTATGGTAAGCTCATATATAATAGGTTGGGAGGCCGATTGGTCTAAAACATGCACTTTAGATCATAAGGTCTGTCATTGAGTCAAATGGCATGGTTTTGATTCCAGCTTTTACATCACAAGAAATAGGATTGCCTATCCAACCTTGTGCATGTCATGTTCTCCAGTTTTCTCTCACTGCTATGAAGACTCATGCAAGCTAGCGATTTATTTGAATAAAATTGAACCACGGGTTGATCCCGATATGACCCAGTTTTCTGTCTCCTGTTACGTATAGAAGATTTAGCCAAAGTCTACAAATTCAAACTAAGGGTTCAGACTGATACATTATGCAAGAGCTAAACCTGCCTATTGCAGGTCTTTCTTTAGACCTGAAATGTTATCTAAATTATTAATTAGACATTTATTAACTTATTCAGACCATAATCAACTCTCGATGTCATCGCTAGCCTGCAATATTTACTGGATTAGGATCCGATCTGCTGCTCAAAGCTCATTGATGATTAAATCAAAATGGATAATCGACTTTAGAGTGGATCAATTTGATTGAAATGTTCAGCAAATTCCCATTACATTATCGAGTTTTTAACTGTTATAGTGAGAACTACCAGCTCTTTAGATAATCTCCCATAATGTATCTTTAAACTATTTATTTATTCCAGTTCCTGGAGATGGAGGGAGTCAGATCGAAGCTAAGTTAGATAAACCAAAAGTAGTTCATTATGTCTGTGATAAAACAGCTGAATATTACAGTCTGTGGTTAAACCTAGAGCAGCTGGTACCATTATTAATTGACTGCTTTGTGGATAATATGAGGTATATTAGTTGATTAGAAGGAAGCCACAGTGGCTCAGTGAGTAAGACATTGACTCGCTATCCTGGAGGTCCCGTGTTCGGTCCTTGTGTTGGTCATAATATAAGTTCATCATGATTTTCCAGTTGGTTCCCCTCACAACTGTCAGTGGTGCAGGACGAAGTGTCTAGCAAGGGACAACGCATAGTCGTTTAGATGGGACAAAAAACCAAGGTCCTGTGTAAACATTGGGTAAAAAAAAACCTTGGCAGTTGGGGCAGAAAAAAATAAGCATTAAACCCCATTTCATCTACATAGTACTACGGGAAGTATTTGGATGATGGGGTTTTCCTATTGCATGTTGAATTAAGGAAGTTGACACTGTACATCTGTTTTCTTATGTATTAAGTCATCCAGGAAGTTGGGTAATCCCAATGACGCATCTCATCCATATTGTAACCCTTTCACTTTATATGCTTTTAAAGGTGCATTATGTAAACAGTAAATCTGGCTGTTAGTACAGGTTTTTATTTTGACTTTAAACATGGGTTCCCAGAAAAGTATTTATCGGGTGGTTATTTCCAATAAAAGTATGGCAATTTTGGTATATATGGAAAGTAGAGATATCAAATCTTACGAGAAAAATACTAGATTCCCCGAAAAACACTCATGGAGCGTATACAGGACAAAAATGTAAGGGTTCCCCTAATCAACAGCCCGACGATTAAGAACTTCTGCACGCTTGATGTACGAGTTGATAAACTTTATGAAGAGTTAAACGCACAATACTTTCTGAGATAAAAATTACGGAAAAAAGACGCAGGTAGTGGATAATCCGAGAATTTAATTAGGATTCGATACTTGTAATAAATAGTAAGCGATTAAAGACAACATCGTCTTATGTATGCAATGAATTCTCCTCTGACTCCCAAGACGTGACGTAAACATGACCTGGTTTGATCGAATTTTAATAGCAGGGCATTCTTTCGCAATTACAATGTTTGAGAAGGATTGGAAGCATAACTATGACAAATTAATTAGTTTGAATATGTTTTTGATCCATATATACCATTAAATCACCGAGTTTGTACGCAGGAACCCATCTTTAAATGTTATATAAACTATTATTTAGATATTTATTCACATGACAAGCCTATAATCAACTTGCTAGAACATTAGATGGCGCAGATGTAAACAAATTAAGATATACAATCATCATTTCATGAATGTTTTTATTTAAAAATGGAGTAATGAGGCTTGATTAACAAGTAATGTTGCCACGATAATAAATAATCTATTTCAAAACTCCAAACATTGATAATATTGCTCAGAATAAAGTAATTTGAATGAAATTTTGAATATATTAACTTTAAATTATCTATTTTGGAACTATTTTAGGTAAGACAACCAGATCTTTATCAAAATCTTACATAATGCATCTTTTATTTGTACAAAAACCTCTTCTTATTTTTAGTAATTAATGAAATTATAAGATTGACAAAATTATGGGAGACTTGGTTCAGATGTGATGCCAAATTTTGAAAGTGCAAGTAGGAGACTGTTACATTTTATTGTATTTACACTGTATCATCAAATATATTTTCTCATGTTTTTGAAAATGAAACCAAAAGCGGCTAGTACCAAGAGAAAATTAGAACCCAATTTTTTGTACTTTTCTATCAGATTGGTTTATAATGCAACATCACGTACTACAAGTAATTCTCCCGGTGTATTTACCCGAATGCCAGGTTTTGGCGATACTCAATCAGTAGAGTGGTTGGATCCAGATCTATTTTCACATATAACCCGCAGTAAGTCGTAAATAAATGATGTACTATTATTATATTATCTAGGCCATGATTTTGATCTCTTTGAATGCAATTTAGATGAACCTAAAAGGCACATCATTTTGGAGTGATATAAAGTTGTTGTTTTTTTTGTTTTTTGGGGGGTTTTTTTGGAACAACTTAACCCTTTAGCCTCAAACCACCCAAGTAAGGGAACATTAGACTGCCCCCGCCACATGCACCTGCAGAAACTAATGAACGGCGGTCCAATAATGCGGAAACCTTGTCACATCTTGGGCCGTCTATGTAACAAATGTCCTATTTAGAACAGTAGGATGTTAAACTCCATTTGTAATTTTCTTGAAAGAACCGGAGTAGTCCTTATTTACTTGTACTTCATATTAAAGGGTTAATCAACTGCTTATTAATTTAATTCATGTACATGTATTTTGGCATACTTTACATCTAAATTCTGCTCAAAGAGATCAAAACTGGTTGAATTGACCTGCTCCTTGTGGCTCAGCTGTATTTATTAAACCTGCTTTTCAATCTATCCTAGGCTAGTTTATAACAAGACAACTCGTAAGACAAGTAACTCACCAGGAGTTTACACTAGAATTCCTGATTTTGGCCATTCAAAATCCGTGGAATGGCTCGATCCAGGCAATACCTATTCTTCTAGTAAGTGCTAACAAGTACTGGTAGTCTTGAGACTGGTCTTGTCTTGCTAATTATGGTTTTTGAATGGAGGAATGTTTTGGGTTTTTTTAAAGCCACCTGTTGACTGTTACCATGACAATAATTATGTTTATGTTTCTGACACTAAAACCACACCATTTTGATTTTTTGTTCTTCAGGAACACCTGTACAAATTGTCCTTGTTATTTTTATGAGAAAAAGACTAATTTATAAACCAAAAGTACATGGTTGTGCTGATCAAAATATTTTAGTTTCTAATTGTTTTGTTTTTGAAAATTTAAACAAAACATATTTCATGTTATTCAAGTGGCTGTCTATTTATTAAGATCATGAGGAAAAGAAAATTAAATTGCTGTGACCTAAACTCTCTTGTTATATTCGACAAATTTTAAGATTAACATATGTATTAAAATTTACAAATTGATGACCTACATTGGTGTGGCGACCTTTTGTTATATTAGGCAGATTTTAAGATTAATAGGGCATATATGTAGCTCTATTTTTTGGAACCTTGAAATAAAATAGACAAAAATGGTTCTAAAAGCACATATTAATGTAATATGAATGTACATGTATGTAAAGTGATTTTATATTCAATTTTTGAAAGAAATTGTAATCTCTAATCAATTATGTTTGGTGAGATATTGAACAGCCGTCGTTTACGTCTGCTTAGTGCAGTATACATGTTTTTTAAATTATTATTTTGTCCCGTTCGTGAATCAGCCATTACTGATTACTTCCACATTATGTTGTAGGATATGTTTTTATTTGTGCATTACAAAATGGCACCCGAAACTATAGGGTACACGACTCGTGTACTGATTATAAAATATTAATTTTGTCTTAAAATATTGGATATTAGGATCCTATAGTTAGATGGCAAGATAACAACATCAATATTGATTGAAATTGATCAATATTGAATCCTAATTCGTGTTTTTAATTTCGAATATTATGGAAAATATTAAGTTAGAGACTTAGCTCCTTTAAAATAATTAGGTATTAAAATTTACAAATTGATACACGTATTGATCCAGATCTATTTTTCCCCGCCGTACACGTTGTATCATAACATCTGTCATTGGGTCAACTGGTGTGGTTTCGATTCCCCAGTTGTACGTGACAAGAAGTAGGGTCGCCTGTAAAACCTCGTGGGTTTTCTCCGGGTCCTCCGGTTTCCTCCCACTGCTAAAGACCCCTACACACAAGCAAATTATTGAAATAAATAAAAAATATTTAAAAAAATAAAACCTATGTTAGTCCCAATATGACCTAGTTTGTTTCGAGAGTGGGAGTGGACATTAAACCCATTTCTCTCTCTCTCTCTCTCTCTCTGTTATTCAATTAAATCCAAAATACAACCACTAAAAACCTAATGATATCGGATAGATTAACATTTGGATATTGAATCATTTGAATTAATCATTTACAGATTGTTACACATGTATTTACTCATGATTCTCTTCATTCTAACACATATTAATAAAATTTTCATTTTGTTGAAACTGTTCTTGCACAGCACATGTTACATTTTTTTTTACACAATTGTCAAAATCATTAATAAATCTTAGGTAAGATTATCAGGTAATAAATTTAGTAAGATTTTTTTTTTAAGAATTTAGTAAGATATATAAATAAATGTAAAGGAGAATCTCTCAGTGCATATTATTCACTATAAATAGAGACGGGGGTATTTATAATGAAACCTTCCTAGTTGAATAAGTTCATGTACATGGATGACTGCACATACACAAAACTCGAGGTGTTTTGTTAAGAAAACTATTTGAACACTACATGTGGGGCTAAATCTATTTTAAGGCCTGTTCAATTTTTACTGACAAGGAGTGGGGTCGCCTGCCCAACCTCGTGCGTTTTCTCCGGTTTCCTCCCCCTGCTAAAGACCCCTGCACGCAAGCAAATTATTGAAATAAAATTGAACCATATATTAGTCCCGAAATGGGCTAAGTCCAGGGTTGGGATGAGCGCTAGCCCTGTTTACATCTCGTGACCTATGACAAAAAATTGAGCTGGCCTTATCATTTAGCACTAACCTTATGGCTTGTTAATGTAGCTTACTTTTAAGGGAAGATATTTGTAGGAAGGACTTTATTTATATAGAAAGGCATTATTTCAAAATTGAAGTCATAAGAAAAGATGATAGGCAAAAGAGTCAACAGGTTCGGACTTAATAATGGATATAGACTTGATATGTATCAAGATATTTCATGACCTCGATCAATGGTTCAAAACGGGCGGATAATCTTGGCTTGATCGTTTTTTTGTTATAAATTGACCAAGTGTGTCATATAATACACCTTCAATCAATTTAAAACTAGTAGAATTTTTCCCCCTATTGGTCCACTGCACATTATGGACTTTACATTATTAAGCTAGAAAGTCACTAAAGTGTCGAGATCATGTAACGCCACCGTGAATTCATGAAAAAGTAAAACTGAAAATAATGTTATGATTTCTGACCATGTGTGTCTTTTTACTTTTATTGACCCACGTGATAACTGGTTGTATATTTGTCATCGGTTTTTCCGTCGTCCACAATATCTTGTGAACACACTATTTTATCATCTGATCTGTATGCAATTTAGGGGAGTTGGATGGCCGAATGGTTAGCACATGCGCGCTGTATCACGAGGCCCGTCATTGAATCAACTGGCGTGGTTTCGAATCCCCGCTTGTACGTGACGGGGAGTAAGGTTGCCTGTCCAACCTCGTGGGTTTTCTTCGGGTCCTCTGGTTTCCTCCCACTGCTAAAGACCCCTACGCGCAAGCGAATTATTGAAATAAAATAAAACCATATGTTAGTCCCGAAATGACCTACATGTAGTCTGTGTCGAGTGGACGTTAAATCCCATTTCTCTCCCTCTCTCTATGCAATTTATAGGGGTTGTTTACATTAGTGGGACAAAGAAGCCTCTTGCATTTCAACAATGTCAGTTAAAGGGCATATGGCTCTATTTTTTGGGAACCTTGAAATAGACAAAAATGGTTTTGAAAGCACATATTAATTTAATATCAATGTATGTAAAAAATAAAAATTTATTATTTCTAATCATTTATTTTCGGTGAAATACATGAACAGTCCAAATTTAACGGCAGTCGTTTACGTCGCTTATTAAATTACTTGTTCATTACAAAATGGCATTTGAAACCATGTACTGATTATAAAATGTTAATTGTGTCTTAAATATTGGATATTCGGATCCTATAGTTTCACATCTAGATCAGTTCAATATTGAATGAAATTGATCAATATTGAATTCTAATTCATGTTTTTAATTTTGAATATTATGGAAAATATTAATTTTGAGACTTAACTTCTTTAATTCCTCTATATTTATGGTCCTTGTTTCACTTTGTAAAGCCTTGGGAATCCTTTTAATGCCAAGAGTTATCATCCAATCTACATGAAATTTATATGCATTATTTAAATTGGTAACCTTTATGTATTGAATATCAGCTGTGATATTTTATCGTCTACAGATTTTGCTTTGTGGACTGCTCAATGCTTAGACGACTTGGCTGCGGTGGCCGTATGTTTCGTTGCTGGCAACCGTATTTTTTTATTATATAAATAATACATGTATTTATTTGTTAACATAATTGTAAATAATAATAATTTCAGCATCCTATTTTGCTCCGATTGTGTCTAGTTTAGTGAATTGGGGATATGTGAGAGGAAAGAGTGTTCGAGGTGCACCATATGATTTCAGGAAAGCTCCAAGTAAGACCTTTATACTAAACTGTGTTAATGAATCTCTCATCTGTAACCATTTCTATAATATCAAAATGATAACTCTGTCTTTATTTCATTCTATTCTTAACAAATTTAAATAGAATGGAATGAACTTATGGTAATTTTTAAACACCCACATTTACATGTAAAGGTATTATGTCATCGCCCCTGTCCGACAGGTCATCTCGACTTCCGTTCAAATTTGTTTGTGGACCCTCTACAGTTTTATCTGATTTTTACTTATAAACTGTTGATGATGTCCTTATGAAACATGTTACATTTTTGAAATATAACCTGTTCCTCCTACTGCTGACGACACCCACCATCCTAGCCTAGGACCTGGGAGAGAGACCCCAGCCATCATAGCCAGGGAGGGGAATTATGAGAAAGGCGAGGGGTGGGTAGAGAGAGGTGATGGGGAAGGGAGGGGAGGGGGAGAGACGGTAGGGGAGGGGGAGAGAAATGGTGGGGGCAGCTGACGACCCCAATCATTGACTAGTGTGTTCAGATATCACTCATCTAATAAATGGAATGTAAAAGACTTTTGAGACTAACATCTATACACAAAAAATTAATCAAATATTGTAAATCGTAAAATCAACATTTGATGTAATCGCTTGTAACGAATGTATGTACATAACCTTGTAGGGTAAACATTAACTCAACTCGGTCATGTTAATGGTTACTTCCTGTTCAAGATTTCTTTATAAAACACTCATGGTACTGGTTAGATCTATTTGATAAGGCCTACTTCAAGTTTGGTCAAAGGTCACCAAATGTAAACAGGGCTAGTAGTAGTACTAAACCAACCCTAACCCTTGACATAGTACCAATGCTTACCCTAACCCTAACCTACAATCTCGCCAACAATCACCGTACTTACATCTCAGCGACCTTGAGGAAAATTGAGCTGGCATTAACAAATACATTTAGCCCATCAAGCTTTTATAAGATGTGTAAAGGATGTGGATGACACGGTCTTATTTTGATATCTCATTGAGGAAAGGGGGTTGGGTGGCCGAATGGTTAGTGCGAGCGTGTTGTATCATTGGGTCTGTCCCCAGTTGTAGTGACAAGGAGTAGGGTAGCCTGTCCAACCTCGTGGGTTTTCTCCAGGTTCTCCGGTTTCCTCCCACTGCTAAAGACCCCTATACAAAACCAAATTATTGAAATAAAATTGAACCATATGTTAGTCCCGAAATGATCTAGTTTGTGTCAAGTCGATGTTAATACCTCTCTCTCTCTCTCTCTCTCTCTCTCTCTTGGTCAACAATAGGCCATGTTTTATGAAATTATTTCCATTGATATTTTCAGATGAATTAGGTGACTATTTTGTTCAACTAAAGAAGTTGATAGAAGATACGTACACCTTGAACAATAATACACCAATAGTTATGTTAGCTCACAGTATGGGTAACCCCGTCTCATTATATTTCCTCAATCATCAACCACAAGCCTGGAAAGATAAATACATCAATAAACTTATAACATTAGCTGGAGTGTGGGGAGGATCCGTTAAACCATTACGTCTCGTAGCTTCAGGTTGGTAAATAAAAATTAATAAAATGATACAGTGGAATCTGTTGCATTCGGCTTCTGAATACCATATTTGGCATTTTGTGGCATCTGTCCTGATTTTATTCCTTCTTTCTTCAACCAAGGCTTCTAATCCAGTAAATATCGCAGATGATCTGGATAAGTTAATTAATGTTTAATTAATAATTTAGATAACATTTTAGGCCTAAAGAAAGACATGCAATACATGTAGGTAGATTTAGCTCTTGTATAACGTACGTTTAGATATCTGTAATCAATGGTTTTTAACCTACAAATTAAATGTTAAATTAAATAATCAATCTATGTACATTTTAGTGTGGATTTTAAGCCGTGAGAAATGTGTTTACTAGCTGTAACTCTTGACCGTCTGCTCCAGTTACAGTATACTACCATTATAGTCAAATCCAGTGCCAGAATAACCTTGTGGGGGGCCCGGGACATACCAACTGTGCGGGGGCCCCATTGTTGTTTGTTCAAATTGTTCTTACTGACCGCGAATCGTACTAGTATGTACTCCATCCCCTTGAGTGCCTGGGGTGTTTTCCTCCAGGAATTTTTTTTTAAAATTAGGATTAATTTCAGTGCATCTGAGACAATTTAGGCAGAGAATTCCTGGGCCCCGAAAATCTGTTCTTACCTTCCAGTCCCAGGGCCCCCAATATCCCTTACTGCCCAGGACTCCATGCTCGCCCCCTCAGCCCAGGTACTGGTTGGCTCTGTCCAGGATAAAATATTAGTATGACCCAGAATTGTGGGGTCCCCTAAATGTGTGGGGCCCGGGACATTTGTCCCACTTTGCCCCCCCCCCCCCTTAGATCTGGTACTGGTCAAATGTATAATATTTATATCGATTCTGATGTTTGCCGAGAAAGTTCATCAGGATTGTCAGTGTTGCACAACGGATGGCCGCTGTCTGGGCAAAATTTCCCTCATAGCACACTGTAGGGTGTATGTCCATTAGTCCATTCGAAGTAGAACAGTAGGACGTTAAACCCCATTTCATCTAAAGATACGTTATTGAAGATTAGATAAAGAACTGACAGTTCTCACTATAATGATTAAAACACTAGATAATGTAAAGGGAATGTGCTGAAAATTTCAGTCAAATTGCTCCACTCTGAACCGAAATATTTAATAATTTATAATTTAATTTACAGGTGATAACCTCGGTGTACCGTTTGTCAAAGCTATAAATGTGCGAAAGGAACAAAGATCCATGCCGAGTACAGCTTGGTTGATGCCAACCGATAAATTCTGGTCTGACAATGAACCCCTTGTTATTCGTCCAGAACGAAACTACACGGTCAATGATTATAAACAGTTCTTCCAAGATCTTGGTTTTATGGACGGTTACGAAATGAGAAAAGATACCGAAGGATTAGTTTATACTTTGACCCCTCCAGCGGTTGAAGTTCATTGTCTCCATGGAAACGGTATCCCTACTCCTGGTGCGTTTAAATACGACAATGGTGCTTATAAATGGCCGGATTCGCAACCTTTTGTGATAACAGAAGATGGTGATGGCACTGTTAATATACGAAGTCTACTTGGTTGTCTGTCCTGGGAAACAAAACAGAAACAAAAAGTTATTCATAAAATATTTCCAAAAGCCGAACATATGGAGATTTTAAATAATAAAGACATTATCGCCTACCTCAAATCAGTTTTAACGGTGCCAAATTAGGGTAATAATTAATATATTATTAATAATTTAACATCCATATGTAACTGTCTAATGTGTACCTGTTTAATTTATCTTCTTGGCATAATGGGGATGCTTGAATTGATGGAATTGCAATCGGGCGACGCTTGAATTGATGGAATTGCAATCGGGCGACGCGAAATTCAGTCCTGTCACAGTTCTGACAGTCTCAACAATTGAGGTGTTGTGAGTAGAAGCGTGATGTTATTGGGTGGATGGCCGAATGGTTAGCATGTGCGCGCTGTATCATAAGGTCTGTCATTTAGTCAACTGGCGGGGTTTCGATTCCCCGGTTGTACGTGACAAGGAATAGTCGCCTGTCCAACCTTGTGGGTTTTCTCCGGGTCCTCCGGTTTCCTCCCACTGCTAAAGACCCCTACGCACAAGCAAATTATTGAAATAAAATTGAACCATATGTTAGTCCCAAAATGACCCAGTTTGTATCGAGTGGGCATTAAACCCCATTTCTCTCTCTCTCTATTAAACACAAGGAATATGTTTCAGCTGTCATGGTTGGTTAAGATATTCTATTAGACAGTCGACTCATGCATTCTAGCCCCATATTCCCATTTTCACTTGATTGTCACTTTTTGGGGCTTGACAGAATTCAATTCCAGAACGGTCAATCGAGGATCCCCATTGTCAACTTTTTTTCTTTTTATTAGATCTGTTACATTTGTCTTCTTCCGAAAATTCTGTGTGCCATCCATATGATGCAAACAAGTAACTTGTTATTAAATTATACATGTATATGAAGAGTCCAGGGTAAGAACGATCTAAGTCACTTTTTGTCTTTTCGCATAAAAGGCAAAACAGAATTTTGGACGAGAATGCTTGACGCGAACAGAACAACGAGTGGGTTTAATTACAAATTCAAAATGATGTTTAATACGAATCATAATTACCAGTACAACAACTGACTTCCACTTTTCAGCCAAATTAAGGTCAAATAAAGAGTACGATGGACGTATTTGTCCAGGAGGCCATTTCTGAATGACCTTGGTTCGATGTGACTCCGGTCGTTTTAACCTGAAATTGATTTTTCCACAGAAAGCTTATACAATTTGCTACCAGATGGTGCTATTAACTGGGGTTGTTGAAAAAGTGACTTAGATCGTTCTTCCCCAGGGCTCTTCATATTGTACCTATTTGAAACATCCATGGTCTTTCACTGTAACCCGGGTATCATTTAATCTTGTGTATTTAGCACTAATTTCTTTCACATTCATTCAATATCAAATCTTTGTTTAAAAATTTGTAAAAATCATTCAGAATCATCTAATTCGTATTGTGTCCAGTTTAAAGCTGACTGACTAGTTTTGATAATGAGTGTCCAATTTACAAGTATTTAATTTCCTGACCACTGTTCAAAAATTAATCATTATACATCAATGATCAATTGGATTGTTTATTTTTTAACAGTGATCGAGAAATTAAACGCTTGTAAATTGGACACTTATTATCAAAATTGAATAGTCAGCTTTAAACTGGACCCAAGTACAAATTAGATGAATTTTGGTGATATTAAATGATTTTTCCAAATTTTTAAACAAGGATTTGATATTGAATGAATGTGAAAGAAATTGATGCTAAATACACAAGATTAAATGATACGTTGATTACAGTGTTTTATTATGTCATGTAACATTTCTACTGATATCAAACCATGCAAAACTTGATTGAAAATGTGATGTCATCCAATGTTGGACAGACTAGTCTATGATATCACCATAATATGTATGTAGACTTGAACATTAATCTCTATTAGACAGACTAGTCTTTGATATTACCATACATGTATGTAGACTTGAACATTAACCCCTATTAGACAGACTAGTCTGTGATATTACCATATGTCTACTTGAACATTAACCCCTATTAGACAAACTAGTCTATGTTTTCACCATATGTCTACTTGAACATTAACCCCTATTAGACAGTCTAGTCTATGATATCACCATATGTAGACTTGAACATTAACCCCTATTAGACAGACTAGTCTATGATATTACCATACATGTATGTAGACTTGAACATTAACCCCTATTAGGCAGCCTAGTCTGTGATATCATGCAAGATAGAAGCGGATATTAACCCCTATTAGACTATTATACAGCCTAGCCTGCAATATCACTCAAGAAAGGGACATTAACTCCTATTAGACTGACAGTCTAGTCTGCAATATCACTCAAGATAGAAGCGGACATTAACCCCTATTAGACCGCTGAAAAATGACCGTGAAGAGAAGGGTTGTCTGTATTTTGTCTTTCCTCTTAGAAAACAAAAGTAGATGCAGCCATTTTGACTTTATCAGTATTATACTGCTATAAAATCTGATTGTGATTTGTCGGATGTTAATTCAACCACATTTTCCATCAGACCACAACAATTTAATGATATGTTCTTCAAGAACACTTATTAAAATGTTGCTTCCCATTTCTGTGGGGAAAAAAAATAGATTAATAAAAGATACTAGTTAGGTATACTCTGAAACTTTTAGTGACTATCTATCAAGACCAAAAAGAACTAATAATTCAATTGTATTGGCCTTACTATTAACTTATAGTGCCATTCATGTGTAACTATTTAATCATAAACTTCAACCAATACTTCATGATAATCTTTTTATTTAATTAAAGACAATGAAGACAGTGACTATTTATCAAGACGAAGAAGAACTAATAATAAATTAGATTGGCCTTACTGTTAACTTATAGTGCTAGTCTTGTGTAACTATTTAATCATAAACTTCAACCAGTACTGCCTCTTATTGATGTTTGGATGATGTTTCAAGACACTGAATATGATTAAAGGGACAATAACACTCTTGCTGGCTTGAAAGCTCCAGAAAATAAATAATATCTCTATCTAAGTACTAGATGTGTTAGTGTCCTACCTGTTGTGTAAATTATCCATTACATCCTATTTTATTTGTCCAGAGGGTCGAAAATATTTTTAAATCGAAGTTTCATTTGAAAAGGTTTACGTTAGACGTTTCAAACCATTATGTTGAATTTTTCCAATTTTTTAAATTAGGTGTGTTAAGATGAAATTTGTATCATCAATTAATTGGAATATTGTAAAATAGTACAATTTGTTGACCAGAATAGAGATTGGGAAATATTATTCAGTTACAACAAGAGTGGTATTGAGCCTTTAAGAATGATAGGTAATGTTTGCTCACATGTTAAACAACAACCTATGTATTATAATCCTATGTAGATAATAATAGTGATCATATATTTATATTCTCAAGGCACACAGGTTAACAGGTATGTTTTGCCCATTGCATCAACAATTTTTATTTTTTTCTCCCCAACTTACATGGCTACATGTATTAAAATTGTTTTGCCTGTCACTATTTCTGGAACGCAATGTTTCTACATGTTATTTAGGTAGAATGTTCAAACTTGGTGTAGATGTTCATTAGGTGAACAATTTCCACTAAGGATAAACAATTTGATTTGTCGATGCTTTGGAACAAGATGACTCTGGTTATGATTGAGTGATGAAACTGTACTTAAGTGCCACGTCTAATAATCTGATTAAAACACAGATCTTATTTCATTCCGTTTTTTATAGTTCAAAATTTCGTTTTACTTGTCTTTACTACACTAGGATCTGGAAGAGTTGTTATTTACCGGCGTTCTAGTTGATGTGAGGAATTAGCCAATAAAAGGGTCTGTTAGGGCGAGTTCTTGGCGTGCTATGCATGGAACTGTGGGTAAACCACTAGAAACGTCAACGCTGATTGATTAATCAATGTCTGACATCATAGGGCCAAAAGCCACTCGTACGACACCTGACACGACCTTGAAGTACAGCCGGTCAGATCTTCATGTAGTGTAGGCCATCAAAACTATAAAAAAAACGAAACAAAATAAAGATCTGTATCTTAATCAGATTGTGACTAAATTTGATATTATTTTCTGCTCAGATTAAGCAAAGTTAAAAAGAAGTTTGATTGCCCAATGCTTCATAAAAGGTGTAGATGTAATTAATAAGTGTGATCTATTTCTTTGGGTAACGGCAGCCTCACTGTTGGCTTGTTTTTAAAAAAAAAAATCTCTTTCCATATTTGAGAGGAAAAGCTTTAAAGCTCAATTAGAATTGTTGCAATTAATTAATTCAACTTTTGATTTGTGCATGTAATTTTGAATCGCATTTCAGCACTGTTGCACTTTCGAATACCTGGCATTTTGGACCGATATCAGTCATCTGAAAGTTTAAAGCCAGTACGACCCAGGAATATAGATTTAGGGGTCCAAAAGTACAGTAGCGCAAATGTTATTTCAAATAGCCTGTACGACATTAAATTTATTTATTTTACCATCCACGGATTTACTGTAAAAACGTATTAATTTGTTTTGGCACATTATTTTTATAAATATATTTATAATACTAACCGGTGTAAACTACTCAACCCTGGAAATAGTGGAGGCCTTCGAAAGTATAACGAAACGAAATTTAGATCTGGGCCCTTATTCAGGAAAACTTAAACTAAGATACAATCGAAATTTTAAGAAATACTGCAATTCGATTGGCTAACCAGTAAAATCAACTTAAACTAAGATACAATCGAAATTTTAAGAAATACTGCAATTCGATTGGCTAACCAGTAAAATCAATTTGCATATATCCAATTTGCATATTGGTCAGCCAATCGAATTGTAGTATTTCTTAAAATTTCGATTGTATCTTAGTTTAAGTTTTCGTGAATAAGGGCCCTGTGTTTTAATAAGATTCTCCTATATCTATTAAACTCGGGAAAAAAGATTAATCTGTTCCCGACAATATGACAGGCACTAGAGAGATTGTGTCAGACGAAAACTGAATTGATGCCAGACAATGTCTTTGAGAGATGCAATATTTCCAGGCTTTTAAACTAGTCCACAGTTTTCAGAGTAAATGTTACTATTTCTTAGGGAATTTTTTTATGTTACTGAGTGTGAAATCCAGTCTTGATGCATCCTTTTAACACTATAGGAACCACTTGAAAACTACAATATCGTGGAAGTTGAATCTCTAATAAAAATATCAGTCCAAAAATGGTTCAGTTCTTTTCAGTAGTTACAAAGATATTTGGAATGAAATGTCACCGATCTGTGCTGCTTTGCTATGTAATAAGCCAATATTGTTGTTTCCTTAGGGGTGGGAAATCCTTATAGCCTCGATGCATCATTGCAAACTACAATATTGTGGAAGTTGAATCTCTAATAAGAATATCAGTTTAAAAATGGATCAATTCCGTTCAGTTATGAAAAATTGAAATTTTATCAATTTATGCTCCTTGGTATGTAATAAGCCAGTCACTGTTTGTCACAATATTGTAGTTGCCACAAGTGATTCCTATTTTTTAAAATGATGCACAAAGCCTTTAACTATTAGCTGTAAGAATCATAGAATATATTTTCATCTTACTATTTGTGCTTCATGTTAAATCCTGTTTGGTGTTTATTTTTTGTTAAATTTTATCATATTTCTCAAATATATTAAATCCTTAGTTACTGGTCGCTATGGTCACTAGGTTACTGAGCCTTTTTCTATTATGGCGATGAGGTCTCCTGTTTTCTGGGCTGTATTAAGCCTAGATTAGGCCTGGTCACTGGTGCCCACAGAAAATTTGTGACATTATGTGATGAACTGATAATTGAAATATATTAAATCGTTAGGTCGCTATAGTCACTAGGTTACTGAGCCTTTTTCTATTATGGCGACAAGGTCTCCTGTTTTCTGGGCTGTTTTAAGCCTAGATTAGGCCTGGTTACTGGTGCCCACAGAAAATTTGTGACATTTGTGTGATGAACCGATAACTGAAAGAGTTAAGAATATAGATAAAATGGTTATAACATACACTTTATATAAAAAATCACCTGAAAAATACCTGTTGTGATGATTTTCTAAATCATATTCTCATATTTTATTTTCTACGAGTTGACTTCCATTTTATATAATAGCTAGGCACCTCCCTCACAGTACATGTACATAACTAAACTTGTTTTAGGCCAGGCTTATGTCTCTCTTACAATGACTATTCCACCAAAAACTGATCAGTTGATGAAACAATTTGTCCAACACAAGCGCATCTAGAGCTAGGTTGGACCACCAACAACTAGCCTCTGGTCTTGTTCGGGAATCACACGTTCTACTTTTACGACTGGTTTCAGACAGTTTACCCAATCTCTTGCAGTAATCATGATACCAACACAAAATTGGTGTCATTTTGATCCCAGCCAAGTTGTTTTTACATTTTCACTGATCATACAGATGCCTTAAGCAAGGCTTGCTATGCATATCAGTACTTTTTACTTAAATAAATTTAATGGCATTATAAATGACACCATTATGGCCACGAGGGCATCTTTATTCTATTTGTCTATAGAAAAAATAAGTCAGATTGTGTTTTTTTGAGATTACTACCAAGAAATTTATAAATTGTTGAAAAATTTCTCTTTGGCCTTTCTAAAGTTAAAATGCAAATCAAATGGCTTGATAAAAAATGTGGCCTTTAATAATTGAATTATTGAAATAAAATTGAACCCTATGTTAGTCCCGAAATGACATAGTTGTATGGAGTGTATATTAAATCCAATTTCTGTCTTTTTCACTGTGTATCAATGGCTTAGATACAAAACTTAACTTGGCTTCTTTTTAAAAGGTAATATATAAATTTATCCATTATATTTATTTTTTTAATTTCCTAATAATTTTCAACTTAACATATTTTGTTGACCTATTCAATATGTATAGTTTTGTATTGACATTTTTCACTCCACCTAGACCTGCATTATTCATGTTATATTATGTTTTCAATTTGTTTATGTTGATCGAAGCTATATTATGTTTTCAAATTTGTTTATTTATATTGAATGAAGTTATATTATGTTTTCACATTGTTTATATTTTCATGTAGTTGTAATTTATGTTACATTATGTGCCATGCAGTATATCATAAAAATGATTGTCTAATTAATTGATTAATTCCCTTATTCAGCATAATGTAAACAAACTTATTACGTACATTAATTTCAAAAAAAAAAAAAAAAGAATTCCTTTTGAGTGTAAATTGACATATGTTTTGATATCCAATAGCAGGTTGCTCTCAGTGAGGCGATAAATTTAAAATAAAAAAAAAAAACAATTTGTGATTCCTTTAAACTAAATTATCATTTAATCTTGAAAAACACGGTTGCTTTCAGTGAATTTAAAAATTCCTAAAAAAAAAAAAGAACAAAAAAAAAACCACAACACAATTTACATGGAAAACAATCATTGGTTTATACATTAGAGATAAGTGTACAAACCACTGATTGTTTTCCATATAAATTGTGTCAGGTTTTTTTTTTTTTAATATGCTCAATCGCTAAATACCACTCAAGGATTAAAAATTACAATTTGTAATTCCTCTGAAATGTAATTTATCATTTATCAAGAAAAAACCCATCAGGGTTGTTATCAGTGAGGTGATAATGCAAACATTAAAAGTATTCATGACCATCTTATTTATTAGTATGTGGTCAAATGGGGGGGTGGATGGCCGAATGTTTAGCGTGTGCGCTTTATATCATAAGGTCTGTCATTGAGTCAACTGGCGTGGTTTTGATTCCCTGGTTGTAGGTGACACGGAGTAGGGTCACCTATCGAACCTCGTGGGTTTCTCCCACTGCTAAAGATCCATACAGGGTAGAAAACTATTAAAACTATTGAACCACTGCTGTAAAAATACCAAATCAATTAAAAATTGAATTAATTAGCATTAATTTTATAAACCACACGCATTTATAATAGTCGCACAAACCAAACTTATTGCTCATTAAATGGCATTCTTATTCCATTTACATAATATTCGTCACCCTGAAATTATATTTCCATAAAGGTAGATAATACATACTAATGGACGTGATGGTTTCACTTTGTAGTCGTTTGAGACCTCTTAATTAATATCGGCAGTTTAATTGATGTCAATTTTAATTCATTAGGTTTCCTGAAATATGCAAATTTCAATGATATCTGTCTGACTGACTTCTGATTGTTCAGAACGCGCTGTCTTAACGCATGGCATGGACACGCTTGGCATTTTAGCGGATGCGCCACAAGCAGAGAGGCCCCAAGCTAATATATTATGTATATTGTATGTCAATAAATAAATACTATACTATAAATAAATACGATACTTAATACTAAACTGCCAATTTTTAAACACAGCTTTTGTTAGATGTACCAATACAATAAATATATGTTTAATTTTATCTACTATTTACATTGATAAGGCAGCCGGTCATGACCGAGGGCTACGGAAAATGACCGGAACTAGATATGACCTTAACTGCGGCCCTGTGTTCGAATGTACTGCTTTATTTATGGTGTTGGCTATCGTTCTTGTATTTCTGTGTATAACTTGGTTTTGTTACTGCTGTTGACTTTTTATTGTAAATGGTGATGATGGGTTGAAATACCAAAAATAATAACATTTGGAATAAAATGATTTTTGTGTTTTTTATATTCGCGGGGGGGGGGGGTGTATAAATCTGTCTTTTGGTGTCTATGTTAATCTTTGCAATTTGGTTCGTCAGCTATTCTGGGAAGTGCTGGTTGTGTCGGAGTACTGATGCTACACGAATAGAACTTGTTTTATACTTTAGGGCAAATTTTACCGTCTGCCTTCAGTTGAAAGGATTTTTCTTAGCCAATTTCCCGTCTTCATTAGTCCAGTCGGCGCGGAACAGAAGGACGTTAAACCCCATTTCATTTCTTAGCCTATAAAATCTCAAGACAAACTTAATAGTGCAACGTGACTTTGCCAGTCATTTTGGTTGTCTGTCGGCCATTCTACCTTGTATCAGCTTTTCTGAAAAGGGGAAGTTTTTATCATTGCAATTTCTCGAAACGTTTATATTTGTGAAATTCTGTTAAAAGAACGCCGACATCAATCAGCTTTTCTGAAAAGGGGTTGGGGTATCGAAACGGTGATATTTGGGAAACGTTGATATTTGGGAATTTGTCTGCAAAATAACGCCGACACAAATTTAATACCCTATAAATAATATAATTCAAATTGTCACAGAGCCGTAATTATGAATACTTTTGATATTCAAAGAAAATGGGTCATCTTATTGCTTAGACATGCCATACGTGCTTCTCCAAGAGCAACTCAAGAATGTGACGTCATTCAAATCTAACGTCATAGTTTCGTTTATTGCATCACAAAACCATTGCGACACAATCATTGCTAAGCTACTCAAGCACCAAGAAGAAAAACAAAAGCGCAGATCTAGCTGTTTATTTTTGCGAAGAAATTTATGGTGCTTTGTAGTTCAAACACGGAAATGAAATCCGGCGGAATTCGCCGATTAAAGAAACAAAAAGAAACGAAGAAAGGGAAACAAATGGGAAAGACATCAACAAGTAATGGCAGCGCGAATGGAAAGGAAGAGGCATCTCAACAAGAAAAACAGACAAGATCAACTTTATTTGATGCTAGTTTAGAAGCATTAGACCAATTATTTAGAGAAAGTAGCGCTGAAGATATTTTACAGTTAGGGCCCAGACCCGAACTGGTAAGATTAAGTTTAGAAAAGAGAAGTTTTTGCAGTTTGATATCATCCAGTCCAAAGGAACAGTTGGCTATGTCAAACACCACTGAATAATTTAACAAACTTGAACTTTTTAGCTTAGATCTAGGCTAATCGACGTTCGCGAAAGGTACTTAAGTGGGGCGGGGGTGGGGTAAACTGGGCTGCAGCCAGGGACCACGATATTAAAGGACCCCCTAATTTAGTTCTAAATGTATTGTAGATATAGGCTATATGATTGTGCCAGTACTAGGGTTACTGACATAAAAATTGCATTTGTGTGCTTTTGACAGACAATGGCCAGATTATGAGCCTATTTTACCGTTGATGCAATGGCCCACAGGGTCGGCAGTGACATCTTCAGTCAGGGGGCTCCTGACAAGCTTAATCCGCCCATGGGTAGGCCTATACAGAAAGAAATTGAAAAAACCTACCCACTACCCAGTTAAAATATTTATGGATCGATTGTTACGATATTTTATATTTCATTGAAGCTTGGAATGACACCTCTAGCCATGGCAGCATCTGTTGGAAACGTAGAAGCGGTGACCAAACTTCTGGCAGCGGATGCAGATGTCAACGAAAAATCAAATGTAATCTTTTCTTTTCTTCTATTTTTTTCCTTTTTTTTTTTTTTTTTTTTTTTGAAACTAGTAAATTTAATCTTCGGCTTTAATTTTAATTTCAAATAATTATTAATTAATTATTTAATTCATCATCAATTAATTTACCATTCAAGTAGTCTAGATCTAATTTAATTATTATTGGAAATTCGAACTGATTTGGTCCAGTTATTAAATTAGTAGGCTATGTTAATCAAATACAGTTATTTCAGTAATACCCAATTTCACACGGTTTTGACCTAATGATTTTAAAATCATTTGATCTTTCAGTTGGATGCAACGGCGCTGATGCAAGTTACGCGTAGTAAGAATTTAGATATAGCCGAACTACTTTTAAAAAGTGGCGCGAGTCTTACTCAGACAAACATTGTAAGTTGGTCTACTTATAAACTAAGTGGGTCCTCCGCTTTCCTCCCACTGCTAAAGACCCCTATACACAAGCGAATTATTGAAATAAAATTGAACCATATGTTAGTCCCGAAATGATCTAGTTTGTGTCGAGTGGACGTTAATCTCTCTCTCCCTCTCTCTCTCTCTCTCTCTCTCTTATGTACGTGTCCAGAGGATGAGGGCAAAGATAAAAACTAACGTGCGAAGTATTACCGCCGTTTTGGATCACTCCACTGTAATCCTATACATATATGCACCTAAGTGAGCAGACATAGGCCTATTGTCCCAAAGCTTCTAATTTTATCAAATTCGCGGGTAGTTCCTCCGACCTAACGCCAAATTGACGTTTTCTCCACCTTGGAGAACACTGATGACTTTGCTCAGAATAAAGTAATTTAAATGAAATTTTCAATATATTCATTTTTCATTATCTATTTGAACTATTATAGCAAGAACATCCACCTCTTTATCTAAATCTTACATAATGTATCTTTAATAAAATACCTTTGGCCATTCTAACAGCATATTTGCACATTATTTATTTTTTAGGATGGTGATAATGCCTTCATGTTAGCAGTGTCTACTGGTGATGCTAAACTCATCAACATGATGTGGCCATATAAAGATTGCTTAGATATAAACCATCATAATCGGGTACGTATAGCTCTTGCTAAATCTCAAATCTTTAAATTACAGTTAGCTAGACACCACCAGGGCTCTCACAAGCCTATGTGACGCCCCAGGGCAAAAGTTGCATACTGTAACTGCTTTGTTAAGTGCCTATGCTCAGCCGACTTTATGATAATGATACAAGAAATTTTACAATTCAGTTTTATATTAAGAATATTCTTACACAATGAATATTTCTGGTATGCACTTAGATAATTTGTCGCCTCCCAAGAAATGTCGCCCCGGGCATATGCCCCTCTCAGCCCCTCGCCCAACATGAGGGCCCTGGACACCAGATTTTGTACGCACTCACATTTCCTGTACCTATTGTGTGTAGAAAAATGACATGAGGTTTAACGTCTTACTTTTCTGCGCCAACTGCATGGGCAAATGAAATAAAATGGGGTTTAACGTCCTATTGTTCTGCTCCTGCTTGGCCAATGAAGACGGGCATACGCCTATAGTGTGCTGTGGTCTAAATTTTTCCCGGAAAGAAGACACTATGGCCTACTCTAATATCGAACTCCAACTGCCAAGGGATATTTTACGTGTACGACAGCTTTCCTTGTCAGGCCCTCCGTTCTGCACCACTGACAATTGGAAACCACGCCGGAAAACCCCAATGAACGCATGGGTTAATGAAGACAATGCGGTTTATTATATACTGAAACATTGTTTTGTTGTAGATGGGTAATACAGCTTTACATTTAGCAGCAGAAAAGAAATGGGACACGTGTATACAATTCTTGTTGTTGAACGGCTCTGATGTCAATCAACAAAATAACGTGAGTTCAATCAATATTGAAAAACTATTTTCAGAGAATTACAATGAATAATCTCCAACTTGAGAACTATTAAATCTCCTTAAAGGCGTGTCTCTGATTGTTCCTCTTGTTGTATCATTAATTAAGTACTGTCCCGTCATATTGTATAATTTTGGTCTTTTGAAGACGAGTTATTTGCCCCTGAATCGGATTCAGACCATTTATTTTATAATCTCGCTCATTGGACGCTTACGGCTAGCTCCAGGGCCCAATCACTTAATCTGATATGTAAGTTTGTTTGTGATTTCTTCGTATTGTGTCTTGTCCGTAGATTTGTTTTGTGTAATTGTGTAGGGTGCAGCCTCCCCCCCCCCCCCCTGAACTTACTATTAGTCACAGCTTAATATAGTTTTTACGTGTATATAATAGAAATGAAATGGAATGGAATGGGGTTTAACGTCCTACTGTTCTGCTCCGACTGGGCTAATGAAGACGGTATACGCCGTACAGTGTGCTATGAGGGAAATTTTGCCCGGGAATCGGCGCTACCCTTATTTCCAATTCCAACTGTTAAAGGTCATTTTACCTTAACACGGGACCTCGTATTTTCGTCCTATCCGAACGACTAGACACTGCCCTTGTCAGCCCTCCTGCAATCCCGAGAAACTTTCTCGGCCAACACCGGGAGCGAGCCAGAGACCTTCTGGTTAGCAGCGCCCAGGACCCACAGCAAAAAAAAAAAAAATACTAGAGAAGCTTAGTGGTTACGTAATAAATAGTTATAGAGTTTTATAGAATTGCGTTCTGTGTAGTGTGTATAACCATAGTGTTTCATAGAATTGTCTTCTGTGTAGTGTGCATAACCATAGCGTTTCACAGAATTGTGTTCTTTGTAGTGTGTATAACCAGTGTAACCATGGTGAATCCTACTGGGTTAAATTTTTAAGTACAGGATCGCACACTATAAGACTTTCACGCGTATTCTAAGAATAATTTATGTCAATTGTTTTGTTTGTTTCTTAGGTGGGCTGGACACCACTGTTTACTGCTGCAACATTGGGAGATTTAAAAACAGTAGAACGAATATCCAACGCTGGTTCCGATTTATTAATAGAGGATACGGTATGAGTATACTTTATCAATTTTATGTTAAAAAATAATAACGAATTTATTAATATAGAATACTGTATGAGTATACTTTATAAATTTTATGTTAAAGGATAATAATGAATTTATTAATAGAGGATACGATATGGACATACTTTAAAAACTTTATGTTAAAACATAATAACGAATTTATTAACAGAGAATACGGTATGAGTATACTTTAAAAACTTTAAAATTTTTATGTTAAAACATAATAACGAATTTATTCATAGAGGATACGGCATGAGTATATTTTAAAAACTTTAAAATTTTTATGTTAAAACATAATAACGAATTTATTCATAGAGGATACGGCATGAGTATATTTTAAAAACTTTAAAATTTTTATGTTAAAACATTATAACGAATTTATTAACAGAGACTACGGTATGAGTATACTTTAAAAACTTTAAAATTTTTATGATAAAACATAATAACGAATTTATTCATAGAGGATACGGCATGAGTATATTTTAAAAACTTTAAAATTTTTATGTTAAAACATAATAACGAATTTATTCATAGAGGATACGGCATGAGTATATTTTAAAAACTTTAAAAATTTTATGTTAAAACATTATAACGAATTTATTAACAGAGAATACGGTATGAGTATATTTTAAAAACTTTAAAATTTTTATGTTAAAACATAATAAAGAATTTATTCATAGAGGATACGGCATGAGTATATTTTAAAAACTTTAAATTTTTTATGTTAAAACATTATAACGAATTTATTAACAGAGACTTCGGTATGAGTATACTTTAAAAACTTTAAAATTTTTATGTTAAAACATAATAACGAATTTATTAATAGAGAATACACGAGTATAAATATTATGTTAAAAATAAAACATAATAACGAATTGTTTCTGGGTGAAGGATGAGCTGGGGGGATTGCTGTAGTATTTACAGAAAGGAGCAACAGTTTAAATCACGACTAACTGTGTAGATTAATATGAAATGTGTTTTAGACGGGTAAACATCATGCGGTGTGCTGTATAAGTGACATCTTGCTCCGACAGAGACTTTTCCGCCAATGTTCTTGACTTTAGTACTTAGGACCTGTGGCTTTCGTACCACCCGAACGTCCTGTACTAGTACTATATGGACAATCTACTAAACGCAATGGTCGAGGGAACAAACATGCCAAGTTTCATGTCGTCGAACCATAGACTTTGTTCGAAGGGATTCACTGTCAAAAAGAAACAACGAAATGAGTAAGGACTCATACACGAATCCTCGCTCCACAAGTTTCATTTGTTTTGTATGTTTGACAGGAAGGTAACACTGCTTTATGTAGAGCTATACTGGAAGAGAAAGACGACGTGGCTGATTTTATTTCCAAAAGGCTCACAGACGTAGAGAAAGCTGAATATTGCAATGTAAGAAATAATACTTCTTTTTGGCGGGAATTTCATATTTCCTAATAACTTTTGTACTTCCATTTCTGCTATTTTTAAAACAGTGGCTGTATTTACACAATGTAAAGTAACATCCATTGCGTTGTTCATTGAGTCATATTAGTACAATAGGGATCCCTTGCAATTGGAGGGGTTGGAATGATCAGCGCGTGCGCATTGTATCATAAGGTCTGTCATTGAGTCAACTGGCGTGGTTTCGATTCGACGGTTGTACGTGACAATGAGCAGGGTCGCCTGTCCAACCTCGTGGATTTTCTCCGGGTCCTCCGGTTTCCCCCACTGCTAAAAACCACTACGCGCAAGCGAATTATTGAAATATAAATTGAAGCATATTTTAGTCCTTAAATGAACTATTTTATGTCGAGTCGACGTTTAAACCCATTTCTCTCCCTCCCTTGCAAACTGCAATATTGTGATAGATGAATCTCTAGTAGGAATATCGTTCCGAGAATGGCCCAGTTCCATTCAGTATTTACAAAGATATGTTGAATTGAAATTTCATCGATCTATGCTGCTCGCTATGTAATAAACCCGCCGCTATTTTGTTGTGGGCGAACAGAATTGATAGGCCTATTTTAAAACCATTGAATGCAAACCGGTAGGTTATTTAGCGGGGATATTTTTTTAACTGCAATAAACATATCATGATTCCTTCAGTTCTCCTAAGGACCAAATCGAGTTCCTAAATTTTTCTTTCATCTATTTTAGTCCCGTGTTGATAGACTGCTAGAACCAGATGAAGTAACTATCAATGGAATTACCCAATACTACGATGAGGTTCTCTACCCAGTCCTGCTACATCTTTGTAAATACGACCACCTGCGATCAGCATTGAAGAGTTCCAGATTAATCCAACATCTTGTTAGCATCGCCTATAGATATATTGAACACAGCCAGGTTGTTGCCCAAAGTTGCTTCATCTGTACCATGCTGATGTTCCGCTATTCTTCTGGAACAGATGAACGGTTTGTCAGTCAGTTCCAAGCAGCAAGTGGTCCGGACTTTATTCTCCACGCCCTGGGCGTTTTTGATAGTTATCCCGGTGGTTTAGTCGCTGAAACGGATGTTACCACGAATTGTTTTCTGAGTTTCCTTCCCTTGACGGAATCCTCTAAAGGACAAGCGTGGATCAAACAGAACTCCCTTCGTTTATCAACTTACATAGAAATCGCAAAGAACATGAACATGTTCTCCAACCACATCATGGACGAAGGTTGTAAATTTAAGTTCAAGATGATGTGGAAGCAGTTTATAGCTCAGTATGAGTCAGCAATCAGGGGTCACCGGGAATATAATCTGGTAAATTTACTAGAGGAAGAAGAACGTGAAAAAGTTCTCAAAGATAAGAAACGAGATCGCCGTAAGATGAAGAAGCTAAACAAGAAACAGACAATACAAGAAGAGCCTGAAGATAAATCATTATCAGGAAGCTGTTCTTCTGAAATATCAATTGACTCTTCCTTTGATGAGAACAACCATTCTAAATTTAACCCACAATCAGAGGAACCCCCCAGTGGAGGAGGTACCGGTAGTCTCGAAAAATGCGATAACCTGGAGACCGAGTCTGAATACAACTGTAATGTGATCAATGCGAATGATATCGACATCCAAATAAGTCTTCCCACTTTCACAGAAGATGAAGACAAGAGATCAGAATGGGTAAAAGTTAGCAGTACCAAGAAACCCCTTACTACAAAAACAGCTGCTCCCAAACCACAACCCCTGCTTCAGGTCAAAACCACCAAACCTGATCAACCCAAACAACCTGATAAGCGTCAGACTAAACCCGATAAACCCCCAGGCGTTGAGAAAACGAAAACGGCTGATAGTCATAAAAGTTGGGCTGATATTGCCAAAGGTAACACCACAGCATCAACGACACCGGATTCGAGTCCAATTATAAAGACCGCCCAGCCTGCTCTGGAACCATTCGCAACAATTGTCAAACAAGGTCTAACACCACCCAAAGCAAGTAGCCCCGACCTGATTAAACCCACGTCACCCGTCGGACATTCGACGCCTGTAAAGCAAAATGAATCCATTGTCGAATCCCTTAAAGTTGAGAGCAGTGAATACTACCAAGACTTCCCATCGCTTAAGGGCGAAGAGACGGAGTCTATTTGGGGCCCCTGTATCATTGAACCTAATCAATCAAAGTCTGCCAAACCAACCCACAGTCCGGAATATGTCCCCAAAGCATTGTGGAGAGAAACATCCCCAGCAGATACTTCGTTTGGTGCTCAGTTGGACAAAGAATTAGCCGAAGAGAGTTCGGTGCCTCCAGGATTTGAAAAACAACCACAAGAAGAGGTGGTTGATTGGTGGGACGGCATGGGGACATTACAAATCACACCACCGCCATTTCAACCATCATTTGTTTATCAGGAAAATCAGATTACAGTCCCTCATGAACCCCCAGTATCCGTGCCTCCTAACGTTTTTTCTACACAAAACAACATGCCAAATCCGCTTTTTAATCCAAGTCATAATGACCGGTCTTTAAACCAAGTTTCAATTAATCCAACTGTCCATCAGCAACCAATTAATATGTTTCCTAATCACCCAATGTCTCCACCCAACACTTCTAGTCTGCGTAAAGATGAGAACCCTTATCATCCGAAACCTAATACTGATAATCTTCCCATGTCCAACCATAATCTTCCTATGTCCAACAATAATCTGCCCATGTCCAACGATAATCTTCCTATGTCCAACCATAATCTTCCTATGTCCAACAATAAGCATCCCAAACCTAATACTGATAATCTTCCCATGTTCAACGATAATCTTCCTATGTCTAATAATCTTCCCATGTCTAATAATCTTCCCATGTCCAATAATCTTCCCATGTCCAACGATAATCTTCCCATGCCCGGAGGGGTAGTTAATTCAATAATGCTAAATGATGGTACTATTTTAAACTTCAACATGCCGAATAACTTTAATGGGTATCCTAATATTAACCAACAGTTTCCTGCGAATGGTCCAGCTCATTTGAACGACCAACGAATGGAGCATGTTTATAACCCAGTTCAAACACCTGTTAACTATGCATCTGCAACAATGATTGATCCGCAAGCTAATATCTACATGGGTGACCCAAATATTCCTTCCCGGTCAATAAATCCTTACGAAGGTGTGATCCCACCTCCGACATATCCTTGGCCAGATCGAAAACAGGAATACGACGATTATATGGAACAAATGTGGAATAGTGCTATGCTCCTTCCATCAGTTTTTCAACTGCCGAGGTATCTACGTGAATCGGTGATGCCTGGACAGTGTCCATCAGACACGGTTCTCTACCCAGCATCTCTCAGGGACGACGAACAGCGGGATCCGGAAACTAGTTCCGATTATTCCACTCAGAGTTCCGAGAACACGGACACCTTCCCGTCCTTCCATGACGGTAAAGATCTTCTGTCCACAAATTTCCTCTTTGAAGAGTTGACGAAAGAGCAGATCAGACAACAGAGTAAGAAGCTATCCAGTAATCCTGATGGGAAAGACAACCTCTACCACAGCGACTTAGATTACTATAGATCGCTGTATGGCCTCATGAAAGAGGATGCTAGATCCAAGGCAGAAGCAGAGAGGTCGTCGTCACCGATTCCTGAATGGGCGACAGAACCACATAATCCTGATTATGAAATTCAGACCGCACCTTTTCTGGAGAATGTCTGCGACTCAGCAGATTTCAGAAGAGATGAAGCAGTATCATCACCACCACCTCAACCAAACCTAGTAAGTCGTCGATGGAAGAGTAAATTGGAAGAAATCAAGTTGCTACCAACAACAATGAGACGCCATGTTGGAGACATAGTGATGCCTGTTCAATCTGCTAAATATAATATCAATCTAAAGTGAGTATTATTTCATGAATGAAGTTTTCGGGGTTTTTTATTAAGGCCATAGAAAAATATATTCTGCGTCTAACTATGCATGTTTTTGCATGGTATTATAAAAATATCGTTTGGTCGCTTTGTCTGTAGTTTTTACTGCTGAAATAGTCAATGGTGGTGTATTTTGTATAACGAAATAGACTATAGTGGTATATTTTGTATAACGAAATAAATTATATTGGTATATTTTGTATAACGAAATAAATTATAGTGGTATATTTTGTATAACGAAATAGACTATAGTGGTATATTTTGTACCATGAAATAGACAATGGTGGTATATTTTGTATAACGAAATAGACAATGGTGGTATATTTTGTATAATGGAATAGACTATAGTGGTATATTTTGTATAACGAAAAAAATTATAGTGGTATATTTTATATAACCAAATAGACTATAGTGGTATATTTTGTATAACGAAATAGATAATGGAGGTATATTTTATATAATGAAATAGACTATAGTGGTATATTTTGTATAAAAAAAATAGACAATGGAGGTATATTTTGTATAATGAAATAGACTGTAGTGGTATATTTTGTATCATTTGCAGTGGAAATTCCGTTGTACTTGGTTATATGAAGAATGGAGCAGAAATAGCGGTTAAAGTTATAGAGAGCAAGCAATCAAGATTAAATCATCAACTTATTGATAAACTTAATTCACCAAGCATGAAACATCATTTCCTTCTTAAATATTTGGTAAGTTAAATAATAAAATAAACCTAATTCACCCAGTATGAAACACAATTTCCTTCTTAAATATTTGGTAAGATGAATAATAAAATAAACTCAATTCACCTAGTATGAAACATCATTTTCTTCTGAAATATTTGGTAAGTTAAATAATAAAATAAACCTAATTCACCCAGTATGAAACACAACTTCCTTCTTAAATATTTGGTAAGATGAATAATAAAATAAACTCAATTCACCTAGTATGAAACATTTTCTTCTTAAATATTTGGTAAGATGAATAATAAAGTAAAACTCAATTCACCCAGTATGAAACATCATTTCCTTCTTAAATATTTGGTAAGTTAAATGATAAAATAAACTACTTACTTACCGGATTAAATAAATTACACTGACATGACCGCAACACTTTAATATTGATATTGAAATTTCTGCACTGATCGGAAGAATAAAGATTAGCATACGCCGTAGACTGTGCTATATGAGTTAAATTTTGATAGGACAGCGGCGCTGCTACCCACCGTTTTATGAAATTCCAAGTGTCAAGCGTTCTTTTACGTGTTTTTCGTCCCATCCGAACAGCTAGACCCTGTCCTCGCCAGGTCCTCAGTCCCGCATCCCATTAAACGCTTGGCTTAACGGATACAAACGTTTTTATCCGCCAATCTTTGTAGCCGGTGGGATGGGGGCAGAGGTGTGTAGCGGGGGTGGGAGCGGTTAGTAAACGACCAAAGGCAGTTAATAACGCCAAGATTGGCTGAGAAGGAAAACGTGGACAGGTAACAGGGAGACCAAATATCTGTGATGCCCAGTTGGCATCTTAATTTCGAAGTGCTGGTTCTAAGAGCTTTAAACCTTTTTTTTTAAACAATATTTTATTCCTAAATTGAAAGGGATTGAGGAACAGGCATAGCCTATATGACCTCTCTACTAAGAGCTTAAAACTGATTGATGATGCATCGCCAAGTTGTGTCTAATAGATATATATCTTATTGTTTGTTACAGACGATAGAGAGGAGTGGTAATAAACTGTATTTAGCATCAGAACTGTGTGATTATACTCTAGAGGAATATATTCATATTGTTGGTTTGAGTCATCAACACGATCCTCTATCAGCCAATAAACTCTCCTGGCAACTACTTAAAGGACTGAACTATTTACACACAGAGCTTGGTATCATCCATGGTAATATGAAAGTAAGTTTATCCATCTTTGATTGACATTTAGTAATTGAACATATTAACACAAGGTAGAATTTTATGGATACACAATTACTGAGTTTAATACTAAGCCACGTTTCGACGAGGATAATCTCGTCTTTATCAAGCAAATGATTCAGATATGTGAATGGTAGGCAAATAGATACAGAATATGGGTTGCGACTAATTTGTGTCTATTTCTAGGTCCAGAATATTGGCGATTTAGCCTCTTTAAAGAAGAACATTTTTTGTCCCCCGCCTTTCGAAGAAAGCAGGGGACTATTAAAATGGGTTTGTCCGTCTGTCTGTCTGTCCGTCTGTCCGTCCGTCCGTCTGTCTGTCCGTCACACTTTTTGGGACACAATAATTCTCCTTCTTATTGACCTAGAATGTTCAAACTTGGTGTAGGTGTTTATTAGGTCAATGCCTTGTGGGAGTTCGAAGATGAGCATTTTCTGCTTATGGGTAAGCAGGGATAAGCAATTTGATTGGTTGATGCTTTGGGACACGATAACTTTAGTTCTAATTAAGTGAGAGTGATGAAACTTGGTGTATAGTTTCATTACATCAATACCTTGACTAAGTTCGATAATGAGCATTTTCTGCTTAGGGTAAGCAGAGCGATAAGCAATTTGATTGGCCGAGACTTTGGAACACAATAACTCTCCTTCTAATTGAGCTAGAATGTTCAAACTTGGGGTAGGTGTTTATTAGAGGTCAATGCCTTGATGGAGTGTGAAGATGAGCATTTTCTGCTTAGAGTAAGTAGAGATAAGCAATTAGATTGGTTGATGCTTTGGAACACGATAACTTTAGTTCCAATTAAATGACAGTGATGAAACTTGGTCAAGACTTTGGAACATAACAACTCTGCTTCTAATTGAGGTAGTATGTTTAAACTTGATGTAGATGTACGTCTTGACTGAGTTCAATGATTAACATATCGAGCTAAAGCTAAGCAGAGATAAGCAATTTCCTTAGTCGATGCCTTGGGACAAGATAACTTTGATTCTATCTGATAGAGAGTGCTGAAACTTAGTGTAAATTGATAATCAGTTTGATTGCTTGATACTTTTGAAAAAAAAAAAATAGAGTGCGATTAATTTAACATACATTATGCAAGAGCTAAATCTGATTATTGCAAGTCTTTATTTGGGCTTCAGATGTCATAGAAATTATAAATTAGATCTTTATTTACACAACAAGAACAAAATCAACTCTGTAGACCCACGGATGGCTTGGATTCGACTGGATTTAAACAGGATTTCGTTGATTGATTAAATTTTTAAATGGCGTTGTAAGCGGAAATTAACCATAACGTTGACATCATACTCCCGGAAATAATTTTAGATTGAGGCTAAATGATAGATTGTACGAAGCGAGGCCGCTGTTGAGCGAGTCCGCATGTCGGTCAATTTGATTGAAAGTTCGATAGATACGGCCTTGATATTATGTTTAGTTGTGGTTAAAATGAGAGTTTGGATGTCACTTGCGTTTACAGAAAAATTATAGAAATTGATAAACATCGCAGCTAACATCACCCCAGTTTAATTGCAGCTCCATTGGATCACTGTTCGGGAGTTACGTAGACCTACCAGTTACAGTACAAGAGTGCACGCAGGCTAACAAGAAGTCGGCTATAATTATGCCTCATTGATTTGGTACATTCCTTTCAAACTTTCGCTTCTTATCTATATATTAAAAGTCTTATTTTTAATTTGTAGTAAAAATAAATGTGATAGGAATTGAATTGCAACCCCGTCTCAAACCACAACCATTGAAAACGTTACTTAATAATCGAGATTATGTAGGTGAAGTTAACGCCTGTCAATCAAACGATCGTCCATTCTCGGAGATGGTGAAGAGAGATTTGACTCCTATTTCTAGTCAAAAATTACAATAGTGATAACTTTGTTCAGAATAAAGTAATTTGACTGAAATTTTCAATATATTCTTCTTTCATCATCTATTTTTGAACTGTTATAGCAAGAATGGCCAACTCTCTATTAAAATCTCCCATAATGTATCTTTAATATGTGTCATCTATTTATTTGAGGATTTCGGCGGGGGACATCAGCCTCACTGTTGGCTTGTTATATATATTTTTAGCCTCAGAATATATTTGTCGATTTTGATGGTAAATTATGTCTGGGTGGATATGGTGTTGATAAACTTCACAGATTAAACAGAATGTCCACAAAACCATGTAAAAAAGGTTCGTACTCACAATTAATTCATGAACACATTTTGCCCATGCAGTGGACGAATTTAAATATTATGCTTTGGTCCATTTCTGTATTATTACGCGTATACTGCAGTGAGTCTAGATAAGGCCACACCAATTTTCTTCTTATTTATTCTAGAAAAGGGGGTAGGCGGCCGAATGGTTTAAAGCGTGTGCGTTAAATCACAAGGTCTGTCATTAAGTCAAGAGGTGGGGTTTCGACTCCCCGCTTGTACGTGACAAGGAGTAGGATCGGATCGCCTGTCCAACCTCGTGGATTTTCTCCGGGTCCCCCGGTTTCCTCCGTCTCCTAAGGACCCTACGCGTAAGCGAATTATTGAAATAAAATTGAACAATATGTTACTCCCGAAATGACCTAGTTAGTGTCGAGTGGGCGTTAAACCCCATTTCTCTATTCAAGAAAAAAAATGATTTATAAACCAAAAGTAATTGGTGTGACCTGATTGAACTGAGTAATAAAAGCTTGGTCGTTTAACGGCTGCTTTCACAATAGTGATATCGCAGACATCTTGAAATTCGGACTGCCATTACGACCCTGACCCTAACCCAACCCTCGCATATCTTTTTCGTGCACTAGATCATGGACCGTGTATATACGGTCCATGACTAGATCAATGTGCAAGAGACCTACATTTTTAGACCCGCTCAGAGACTTTAGTACATTCTGGTGCCAGAAGTGTTACTCCTGACGTTATAAGGCGTACGAATTGGGTCCAGATTTAAAATCCCGAAGGATCCGAGTCGAAATTAAAACTGGTGTACTCTTGTGGCTAGTCTAGTGTTCACGGGACTTTGGAGCTCACGAAAATAAATGGGGTTTAACGTCCTACTGTTCTGCTCCAACAGGGCTAATGAAGACGGGCATACGCCATACATTGTGCTATGAGAGAATTTTTTTCCCGGGCATCGGCACTACGGCCTACTCTTATATTGAATTACAGCTGCCAAGGGATCATTTACGTGCACGCCAATATGTAACGGGACCTCGGTTTTTCGTACTATCCGAACGACTGGACAGCTGTCTTTGTCAGGCCCTCAGCCCTGCACCACTGACCACGTCGGAAAATCCAGATGAACTTTCTCGGCCAATGCAGGAATCGAACACGCGACCTTCGGGCTAGCGAGCCAGCGTCCTTCCCGCTTAGACACCGTGGCTCCCATTGAGCTAACGAAACCTTAGTACATCCTTGCTAGTATCAGAGACATTACTCCTGGCATTACCAATTTGATCCATATTTAAAATCCCGAATGATCTGCGCCTAAATAAGAACTGTTGTAATCTTGTAGCGAGTCCAATGTTAAGAGGACATTTGCGCTCCTGGGTTACCCTTTTAATTAAATATCATTGATAATTATAATTTCAAGATACATGTAGATTTGTAGGGTCACATAAACTCTCTTTGTTTGAATTTGACAGCTGATGAACGATTATGGAAAGCGAGTGAATGTTTATCAGATAATGAAGATATTGAACCAACAACATATTCAGATGTTCAGGTAAACAACTGGTTACCATTATAATGCCAGTTTATATCTCATTGCTTCCTTGGCGGAATCTGGTGGCCGAATGGTTTAACGCGTAGGCTTTAGATCATAAGGTCTGTCATTGGGTCAGTTGACGTAGTTTCGATACCCCGCTGGTCTAACCACGAGGGTTTTCTCCTCCGTGTCCTCTGCCCCCACTCCCTACTGCTAAAGACCCCTACCCACAAATGATTTATTGTAATAAAATTGTACCGTACATTAGTCCCGAAATGACCCAGTTTGTGTCGAGTGTACCTTAAACCCCACCTCCGCCACTGGCAGGTAGTTAATATTCGTGAGAGAGAGAGAGAGAGAGAGAGAGAGAGAGAGAGAGAGAATGAGAGATGGGGTTTAACGTCGACCCGACACAGACAAGGTAATTTCGGGACTAACAATGTAAACATATGGTTTAATTTTTTATTTCAATAATTTCCTTGCGCGTAGGGTTCTTTATTAGTGGGAGGAAACCGGAGGACCCGGAGAAAACCCACGAAGTTGGACAGGCAACCCTACTCCTTGTCACGTACATCCGGGAATTCGATAGTTGACTCAATGAAAGGCCTTATGATACAGCGCGCACGTGCTAACCATTCGGCCATCCACCACCACCACCACCAACACCCCCACCCCACCCACCCACCCCTAGTATTCACGAGAGAAAAGCGAGATTTCAAGACGTAATATAGTTTAATACACTAATTATGGATTTGAAATTCACTGGGAATAATAAAGCAGGTATTTTCAGTCTGGCATAAATCCGAACGGGCTGCGTACTGGTACTAGAATCAGTGCTGGATTTACCTTTTGGCTTAGCAGGCTGAACCCTAGTGCCTCAAGATCTAGGGGTGGGGGTTATAGCCAAGGTGTATACTATTTATGACAATGCAGGGGCGTGTCCAGGAATTTGAGCAGTCTTATTCTCTGCGCCAGCAGGGGGAGGTGGGGCGCCAGGACCCCCCCCCCCCCGCCCGGGGTCACATGCTTGCAATGTCCCATATATACATCCTCGACTTTGCTCAGTTGTGTTTAAAACAATCTCCCATTTTGCTCTCATCAAGAAATGGGTGATAGCGCAACTACATCACGGGGGGTGTGGGGGTGTGGATGCCTGAATGGTTAGATGGTGTGGTTTCGATTCCCCGGTTATACATGACAAGGAGTAGGGTCGCCTGTCCAACCTCGTGGGTTTTCTCCGAGTATTCCGGTTTCCTCCCACTGCTAAAGACCCCTACGCGAAAGCGAATTATTGAAGTAAAATTAAACCATACGTTAGTCCCGAAATGACCTAATTTGTGTCGAGTGGACGTTAAACCCTCTCTCTCTCTCATCAAGAAATGGGTGATAGCACTGATTAGGATGATCAACTAGAAGTGACTGTAATTTAGATCTTGCTGTCCCGGGAGATGGACAAAACAAATATGATCATGTGACGTTTTACCTGCAGGTGTGTGGTATGTTGATATACTATATATTAACTGGTGGTAAACATCCTTACGGTGAAAATCCTTACGAGATCGAGGTGAACATTTGTCAGAACTGGGGACAGATGATGTTTATCAGTGAAGAAGCCAATGATCTTACATCCGCCATGTTGTTCTCGGATATTACAGCAAGACCAACTATTGAACAGTGTTTAGGGTAAGCTCGCTTGTAATCTGATTAAAACAGAGATCGTATTTCGTTTCGTTTTTTATAGGTCAAAATTTCATTTTACTTGTCTTTACTACACTAGGATCTGGAAGAGTTGTTATATTACCGGCGTTTTGGTTGAAGTGAGGGATAAGCCAATGAAATGGTCTGTTCCATGCACATATATTCAATCTGATTAAAACAGAGATCCTATTTCGTTTCGTTTATAGTTCAAAATTTCGTTTTACTTGTCTTTACTACACTTGGATCTGGAAGAGTTGTTATATTACCGGCGTTTTGGTTAAAGTGAGGGATAAGTCAATGAAACAATGTGTTACGGCGACGTATTGGCGTGCCGTGCATGGAACTGTGGGTAATTCACTAGAAACGCCAACGTGGATTGATTAATCAATGTCTGACGTCATAGGTCAAAATCCACGCGTACCAACCCTGACACGACCTTCGAGTACACCTTGTCAGATCTTCTTGTAGCGTAGGCCATCGAAAGTATAGAAAAAAACGAAACGAAATATAGATCTGTATTTTAATCAGATTGACTCGCTTGTGTTTTCGGTTATCCGGTTATCCGACCTATCCCATTTATTTGACGCGGGAATGTTTTGTTGTTTTGTTTGTTTTGTTTTTTTTAAAAAAAAAACTGACTGTAAATGTGGATTTCTGAGGTGTATCCCAATGTTTCTAGTATGCAGAAATTTAGTGCGTGACAATCTAACCAATTCGTCAAAAACGACGTAAATTCAAGACAAGGAGGTTCCAATATACGTGATAACATTTTAGTTAAAAATTTCTTTAGGCCCCCGCCCTGCACACCTTTCGAGCCTACCCCTCTCACAGGCTCATTCTCAGTCCTCCCCTGTGGGGCTGTGGAAAGACAGGTGGGAGTATCGTAAAATTTTATTGTCCGTTTGATATAGTATTGGGTGAATTCGTCCATGGGAATATCGTGTGAAATTTTATTGTCCGCTTGATAGTATTGGGTGAATTCGTCCATGGGAATATCGTGTGAAATTTTATTGTCCGCTTGATAGTATTGGGTGAATTCGTCCATGGGAATATCATGTGAAATTTTATTGTCCTCTTGAAGGTATTGGGCGAATTCGTCCATGTGAATATCGTGAAATTTTATTGTCCGCTTGATGGTATTGGGTGAATTCGTCCTTGTGAATATCGTGAAATTTTATTGTCCGCTTGATGGTATTGGGTGAATTCGTCCATGGGTATATCGTGTGAAATTTTATTGTCCGCTTGATGATATTGGGTGAATTCGTTCATTTTGACTATTGGCTAGGATCAGTGTGCTTGACTTCTAGTTTTATTATTCTTTCAGGCACCCTTTCTTCTGGTCTGATGAAAAGAGATTTCGACTGATATTGATAGCTGGTTCCGATGTGTTGAAAGAGATGAAGACTGGGTAATGTGTATATTTCTGTGTTAAAATGATCGGTTTCCATCACTGGCCCCCGATGATTTTTTTTTGTTTTGATTTGTTTTCTTCGTTTTTTTGTTTTGTTTTGGGTTTTTTCATAACATAGTGTAAAAAGAATGCATCTTTGCATACAAATTACGATCTGGGTTTTTATAAATCAGCAGTAACTTCCAAAACCATATTTTTCATAAAACTATTAATTTGTGCTTTTTAAATTGTTAGTTGTAGCCTTAAAGGGACATTAGGTAAGATTAGCTGACAGTTCTCGCTTTGTTAAAAATAGATAATGAAAATAGAAAATGTTGAAAATTTCAGTCAAATTACCTCACTCTGAGCCTAGTTATCGGCGATACAATAACATTGTAGCCTCGATTGCCATTGCTACGTTGTTACGATAATAAACAAAGTCTTGATTATCCATTCTTACGGTTATTTCATTAACCGCAAAACTTATTCAAAATCTACTAAATATCGGATCCATCTAATTAACAATATATATCATATTTTTAGGCCTAACGAAAGACCTGCAATAGGCAGATTTAGCTCTTGCATAATGCCTGTTTAAAGAATTAATAAATTGGCTGTATAGTAAAATATTATCGATCTGTTTCAGAATGGCTGTTACCGGAACCGGTTCTACTACTATGATAGATTTCCTTAATGTTGTTCCTACTGATGACGTCAGCGAGGATTGGGTTAGTTAATTATAGGTCTGGTAGACTATAACAGGATGGGGTTGGGCAGGGGCGGGCTGGAAAGTTATTGGCCCCATGGCGATGAAGAGTACGTCACATAACAAGAAAAATGAAACCCCCAAAAGTTTTAATCGTCCAAAAGATAGTTAATGATACCATCTCGATAAACCGTAAAATCAAACAAAATTGAGTAAAAATAGCTCTGTGTTCTCCGAATGAGAAAGTGAGGTCTTTTCATCTAATGGTTAATGCCTATAGGTTCCCACAGTCGTGCGATGCGTTGCGATAGTATTGTTCCTATTGAGTCCACAATCTGGTACGTGCAGAGACGTTCGGATACGTTTTGATATGATCAACACGATTGCAACGACTGACCTCAATATATGATAAGACCTGATAGGATCACCACGATTAAAACCACTATTTCAATCGTAGCACGAATCGTGATAGAGGGAATCTAGCATTAGGAAATCCCCTTGTTGATTAGACCGTCAGCACTAACATAAAGTCAGTACTACTTTTCTGCTCCGACTGAACTAATGAAGAAGGTTATACGCCTATACGCCAGACAGTGTACCACAAGAGTAATTTTGCACTACGGCCTACTCTTGTATCGAATTCCAACTGTCAAGGTTTCTTTTACGTGCAGGCCAACGTGTACACGGTACCTCGGATTTTCGCCCCAGCCAAAAGACTAGACACTTTCCTTACCAAGCCCTCCGTGATGTAACACTGACAAATGGAAACCACGCTGGAAAATCCCTGAGGACTTTCTCGGCCAACACCGGGATCGAACCCCGGATCCCCAGCTAAAAAAAGAAAGTGCTAACTGCTAACAAAAGAAAGTGCTAACTATGCTAACAAAAGACACGGCCATTTTGTTTTAATGTTTTGTTTTTTTATATTACAGATGTCTGATTTAGATCCAGTAGTATTAAAGGACATGAGATCATTTCGTCAGTATAAAAACACACTAGCTGAATTAGTTCTATTTCTTTACAATTGCTGTCTTCACTTCGACAAAATGTAAGATTTTGTTCTTTAAATAGTGATACCATGATGTCCGTTTCCACAGAAAAGTAGGATGTTAAACCCCATATTTCGTTTCATGTATTATGGGTGTTGTTAGCCGTGAAAAGTTGGGTAACTGTACACAGTGAAGGGTGTTTGGATGGCCGAATGGTTAGCGTGTGCGCTGTATCATAAGGTCTGTCATTGAGTCAACTGGCGTGGTTTCGATTACATAGTTGTACGTGACAAGGAGTGGGGTCGCCTGTCCAACCTCGTGGGTTTTCTTCGGGTCCTCCCACTGCTAAAGATCCGGAAATGTTAGTCCGGAAATGACCTAGTTTGGTTGAGTGGATGTTAAACTCTCTCTCTCTCTCTGAACAACAGTGACAATTTACAATTTATCTTTTTAGGTCGCCTTCCGCAAGAGAAGTAATGGATGATCCATGTCGATATTTTCTAACTAAATTTCCTCATTTATTTATGGCTGTATATCGAGCTATTAAAGTATCGGATCGGACCAACAGAACCTGCTATAAACCATTTTATTTATACTGCTGTTAAAACAGAAAAACTTCTGGGCAATTTGGATTTAGGTAAAGGCCTATTTAAAATTCGGAATCCAAAAATATTAGCCTTCGTTAACTATGTATACTTTTTATGGATAATGGCTGTTAAAACAGAATAACTTTCAGTAATAAGTTAAGGCCACTGGGCCATTTGGATTTGAATAAATGCCTATTAAAATTTCGGAATCCAACACTATTAGCCTTCATTTACTATGTATAATTTTTATGGATAATGGCTGTTAAAACAGAATAACTTTCAGTAATACGTTAAGGCCCTTGGGCCATTTGGATTTGGGTAAAGGCCAGTTAAAATTTCGGAATCCAACAATATTTTCTGTGTGTTGTACTATATATAATTTAATTTTGATCAATAGTGGCTTATGGAAAAATATGTACTTCGAATTTATACTTTTACACCATTTGTCTTTCACATTTTGTATAGCAATTTACTAAATAATACATGTAAGCTTAACTTATTATACAATATTTTATTTATTTTTATAATATTTACACAAAACTATATATGTATAAGAAGTTTAATATTTACCTATACTTTTTACAAATTTAAAAGAAAAAATACGGTGAATTTATTTAATTTTGTAATGAATTTTTTTTTAAATATCAATAAAGATGTCTGAACAGCGTTCTCTCTTTTTTTGTTTCTTTTTTATTGTGTAAGAAAGTGTATAAAAGTATCAATAGGGTGGTTGGATGGCCGAATGGTTAGCAGGTGCGCGCTGTATTATAAGGTCTGTCATTGAGTCAACTGGCGTGGTTTCGAATCCTCGATAGTACGTGACACGGAGTAGGATCGCGTGGGTTTTCTCCGGGTCCTGCGGTTTTCTCCCACTGCTAAAGACCCCTAAGTGAATTATTGAAATAAAATTGAACCATGTGTTAGTCCCGAAACGACCTAGTTTGTGTCAAGTTGACGTTAAACCCCATTTCTCTCTCTCACACAAGTAACAATAACGACAAGGAACTAGAGAATTTTAAAGGGCCAATCCCAATAACATTTCATCTGGAAATGGAGACCGGTGTCCAAAGCTATTTATGTGGTGTCTGGATAAAACCAGACTTTTTTTTATAAAAATAATGTGTAGTGAAATTTACCTTTCGTTATCGAGTACAGCACATGGGTCATTAACTGTATTGACCTCTAAAGGAACGGGAATCGATTATCAGGTCAGCCAACGAAAAAAATGACCCAAAATTTTAAAAGGGTTACGTGTCCGGATAAGCAGTTTTGACGTTCACGTCCAAACAAATCAATATTTTGCTCTGAAATTTTAAGACAGGGTAAATACACCATTCCTCTATATTGCGGTGCTTAAATTTCATAGTTCTTTTATTTTTGAGACTCTGTTCAAATCGGGATAGTCCAATGAAAGCGCAACTTCTCGCCTAAAATGCAATACAGTATTTATACACACCGTTTTAAAAGCACATCGTATTATGTGTAGTTTAATGGTCGAGTGCGACCAACTGGGGAATCAGAACCCCGCCAGTTGACTCAATGACAGACCGTATGATACTGGGCGCACGTGCTAACCATTCAGCCATCCCCCCACCCCTAATCGGCAATACAAATAATAAAGAGGTTTTGAATTTTGATTGAGTAAATGTTTTATTATACAGTTATTTGCAGGTGTATATTTTACAAGGTTGTATTATGTCACAGTATATATATAGATATATTACATAATAAAATTATTTAATTGAAATTATACAACACGATACAATGCTTTAACATATAATACACATTAACACAATCTTAGCACATTCAAAACACGTGTCCAATACATATGTGTGCAAGTTTTAATCCAAATTGAAATGAAATGAAATGGGGTTTAACGTCCTACTGTTTTGCTCCGAACTGGGCTAATGAAGACGGGCCATACAGTGTGCTATGAGGGAAATTTTGCCCGGACAGCGGCACTACGGCCTACTCTTATATCGATATCCAACTGTCAAGAGATCTTTTACGTGCACGCCAATGTGTACACGGAACCTCGGTTTTTCGAATCCAAATTGAAATTTAGAGATGTTACAATGGGTTTTTTTTATAATACAATTTACACAATCAGTAATTTAACACACAAATCCCCACGTTTCGACTACATGTGTGTGTGTGTGTGTGCAAATTTTAATCCTCCAAATTGAAATTTAGCGACCATTAGATAAATTACCAAGAAACTTATAACAGCGTTGTAGACTACATCCAACGTGGTTTTGTGTGATATTCACAACATTTCTTTGGATTTTAACATAATTACGAAGATTTTCTAGACATTAATGGTTGATAAATTCATCTGATTTTTCTTATTGAAGATATCGTGCCATGTAATTCGCAATAACTATTATTATATTGAATTAATAAACAGAAATCGAGTGAAATGATACTGGCCAATTAATTCTAGAATGGTAGACATAATGACCAATCAACAATACTGTGTAATAACAAAGACTGAACACCCCCAAATAAAACTTTGAGGAAAACACTGCCAGTTGGGTTAATGTTTAGTAAACACTGCCAGTTGGGTTGCTGTTTAGGCAACACTACCAGTTGGCTGGGCAACACTGCCAGTTGGGTTGCTGTTTAGGCAACACTGCCAGTTGGCTGGGAAACACTGCCAGTTGGGTTGCTGTTTAGGCAACACTGTCAGTTGGCTGTGAAACACTGCCAATTGGCTGTGAAACACTGCCAATTGGCTGGGAAACAATGCCAGTTGGGTTAATGTTTATGCAACACTGCCAGTTGGCTAAATGTTCAGTAAACACTGCCAGGTTTTTAAACCTACGCAGTTAGTTCCTATTAGCGCCATCATCGATCTACCATTCCCGCCTACAGAATAATATTTTGGGGGCCTATTCGCTATTGATATAAACAGGGTCAGATTTACAAAACTCATCAATGGGTCCCCAAATTTATAGAAAGCTTACACTTATTGTAAAATTGCCTTATACTCCGGGTCCTATACTTGTACAGATGCCCTAGCCTATACTATGGGTCCTATACTCATCATACAGGTGCCTAATACTTAAGTTCCTATATTCATTGTGCAGGTGCCCCATACTCCAGGCCCTATACTTATTTTACAGGTGCCATATACTATGGGTCCTATACTTGATGTACAGACACCCTTATGGTTTTGAATATATTATATAATGAAACTAGCGGATGACCCAGCTCTGCCCGGGTTAAAAGTAGTTTAACTCCGAAACCGGAAGCGGTAGGCCAACGCCACCTAACCTATTTTAATCCTAGGTCCGAGCTACCCTAATACATCACATTTCAGCCTTGGGACAGCTCTTGTGTAGTCGCCAACAAATATTAGTATAGATACCCGATGCACGACAGATTAGTTTTAGTGCCCCCCCCCCCCCGCCCCCAGATACTTGTGGGCCTTTAAGCCAATGGCCCACTATATGCCTTTCGTTATATCAGGCCCTGGTTATGAATGATATGACACTTAAATATGATTAACCTTCTATATATATATTTACAACAACATACTATATAATATATTGCACAAAGCTGTTGATAAAAATACTTTACATAATACTAATCTTACTAAATACACTATTTGATTATCTTATAGTCTACACCAGTTATCCACCCCTACATTAATACGTAGCATAGCAACCACTATTTATTTATAATCCTAACGGGGAATGCTCACTAGTACTAGTCTGCGGGTTCACTAGTCCGTGGGTTCATTAGTCCGCTAGTCCCCCTATATCTATTATTAGGGTTAGAGTTAGGGTTCATTAGCCGACCGATATCTATTATTAGGGTTAGGTTTATTGCACCCGCAGACTAGTGAACCCCTCTCCTTCTTCTACTTCTAGTGTGTTCAGGGTGTCTTATTATGATCTCACACCAAATTTCAGACAAATCGGTCAATAACTTTCGATTTTACACAACTTTTACTTCTCCCATTTTCTGCTAGGCCCTGCACCTGACAGAGCATGTCGTGCGGACTCAGCAAATTTCAAGTCACCACGACCACGGCAAGTACTAGGTCAAGGTGTACGAAAGTGCATTAGCGCCAAAACAGACATATGAATTCCCTATAATTGAACAACAGAGAGATATGGAGTTTAACATCAACTCAAAACAAACTAGTCCGCACAAACATATGAATTCCTTATAATTTATCAGGTCTTATTTCACATCTTGACAAAAATATTATAAAAGTAGAAAGGGATGAGTGGGTTACCTCCCCTGGGATATTTTCTAAAATCTACAGCAAGACAAGATACCAGTATTCAGACCTAATTCTATCTTAGACTGGATGAGAAGGGTGAAAATTGGAGCTTGAATATAGCTGTGAATGAAAAGAACATCCATTAATTTATTCCTTTTTTTTTCCTTTTAGTAAACATGGGAGAGGGAAACCATCTGAATCAAAACGGTCTACTCTTTGGAACCATTAACTACCAGTTTGTCAATATATTAGGAAAATGAAATGGGGTTTAACGTCTTACTTTTTCTGCTCCAACTGGGCTGATTTTCTTTTTTTTTTTCCTAATCTATTGACAAAGACGACTGTTTTAATTAAGATTTTTTCCACATCCAGTTTTCTCTGGGTACATTAATTACCTATTAGTCTCTATCATCCAGAAAAATATTCTACGAAGACTAGGAGCTTCTGGATGACCAAGACTAATTTAATTACCAATATGTCCATATATTAGAGTCTATGGGTGGATAACTAGGTCTGTTTATACACAAATCTAATATTATATTTTGATTTCTAGACGAACTACTATCACCGTATCTACCTCTTATTTATACTTGTAAAACCATCACACTTGTAATAACTAGAATATTTTGACACGGAGAGCAATGGGGTTTAACATCCACTTAACACAAATTAGGTCATTACAAGACTAACACATGGTTCAATTTTATTTCTATAATTCATTGGGGTCTTCTGCAGTGGGAAAAACCCTTAGAGGTTAGACAGAAGAGCCTACTCCTTGTCACCTATAAGAGGGGAATCGAAACTACGCCAGTCGACTCAATGACAGACCTTCTGATACAAGACGCACATGCTACCATACCGCCATCCAACCCCTCAAACAGGAATCTTCAGCAGTGGGAGGGTAACCTACAAGGTTAGATAGATGACCCTACTCCTTGTCACGTAAAAAAGAGGAATCAAAATCAAGCGCCACTTGACTCAATGACAGACCTCATGGATTGCTGAATGCAAGCAAATTATTGAAATAAAATTGAAACATTAGTTAGTCACTCACCATAATAATACATACCCTCTTATTTATACATGTAAAACCATAAGTAATTATATAACTGGGATATTTTTGATAGTCAATGTCCCATAAGTTTTAATCTGATTAAAATACACATCTATATTTCATTTCATTGTATCAATGGGATTAAGTAATTGAACTAGAATATACAGGTGACAATTCTATGGAACACAATTACTGCTTCCGTCTTCATTAGCCCAGTTCGTCTTCATTAGCCCAGTTCGGAGCAAAACAGTAGGACGTTAAACCC